GAAACTTTTTTTACTTCGGCGCCCCTTTCGCGCGGGATAATCAAAGTTTCGGTTTTTAGTGGCGCGTATACTTCGAGAACAGTCGCATAAATACGGTGTTTCGCCGTTTTTCTCTTTGAACAAAAAAGATTTTTAATGGTTAGAGAGAGCGTCGCGACGCCGCCCCGCGCGCGCTCCCCGTCTCCTGGATTGATGGGAGCCGGTGCCTCCAGGTGAAACTTCTGGAATATGTATGAGCTTCCGTTGGAAAAACATCTAACTTAATTTGCGTCTCGCTCGCAAAAAGTGTACAAAACAGCTCCGAGGCCGAACTAAAACTCGCTCACGATGTTTTATTGCCGTTTGCTCTCTTATCGATTTACTATCGCAATAAATATAACTTCTAATATATGAAAAATACTTGCTTAAAGAACGTTTCAATTGAAAAATTCCCATTCTTTTAGTGTATTATTTTAGGAGAAAACGTTAAATTTGAGTGGTCTATTAGTAGACACTAGCAGTGGAGGATTTGTTAATTTCGAGTTAGCATCGCATGCACGCCTTATTTCTGCTTGCTCTCTAATAGATTTAATTTGCTCTGATTTAGTTAATTTGCTAAAAGGATCGTTTATCGTGCCGTAAATTACAGTCACGCCTTAGTTTTGTTCTAAAAATACTACATATACGGATAAATTCCCGGCAATTTTGATAGCAGAAAATCCAACTTATTCCTCTCTAATATAGCTGTATTATAGAAAGTAAGTTGTTTCATTTCACCAAGTAAAATAACTTAAAAGAGTTTAAATAAAAATTAGTTTCGAGTCCACCTAAAGTGCTTTTGTTACAGCGAAATCAATCTGTTTGAACTACTAAAATCTCCTCCGGATTAAACGGAGCGTTTTTGAGCTCAAAGCTAGCCAGTTCAAGCTCTTATCATTTCGAACCTCCTGATGTAGATACTTCCGAAATCGAAATTTTAGATGATAAAATCGATAACTGTATTATTTCCTTTCTCGCGAACATGTTCACCCCGGTTTTCTAATCAAGAAATTGAATTTCCATCGGCACATACGGACGCAACGCCGCGTGAATTGTCGCGAATTTCCGCGCAAATCAATAATCCCTACCTTTCGCAACGAAAACTATGGAAAAGTCCGGGTAAAAGCTTTTCGTTTAAAAAGTCGCTGTTTCGCCGGTATCTGATCGTTAAATGAACTTATTGTCATTTTTATGGAACGGTAAAAGACCGGAGAGTCGAAAACAGACGAACAATCCAGAATTCAATTTCCATACCGGAAGGGAAACCGAAGGAAACTTTAAGATTGTTGTCCGGATTGAAGTAACACCGGATTATTTAGATGTTAGTGCCGATTTCACTGTCGATCGGTATTTCCATTAGATACTCCGCACGACCCCGTTTCTAATTAACTGAGTTAATAAAGAGAGAACTTTTGCCAAGTAAATTTCACTTGCTCATCCATAAATTCCGCACATTTTTATATAAATTAGCTACTTCCCTACGCTCTTGTTTTACTTAATACGTTCGTATGAAATCCATTCGAAGGAAAATCCAGAACTATCCATGCTCCTTTTATTGTCCAATTGTAAGCAGACGTGACCTGGATGACCATCACGTTCTTACATTGCATATGGGATTCCGATAGGAGTAAAAATTAATCGGCTCTATTGCAGATAAAAATTCAATTGAATTCAAGCGAGGTAAAAATACCACTCGAAAGTATACTAGCTATATCCTTAATTACTAGGTATTTAATTATTTATTAAATTATATTTTTGGAATGTTTATTCCCCCGTTAGTGCGTTTGATATAGATTCTTTTCTATCGAGGACAATCCTGCGAGGTCAAAAAATCTATATTAAAATTACCGGTGCTTCTAGTTCCATTATTAATATTTATTCCACTTAATGAGTATACACTATACAACAATGTTGTGATTGGTATCAAATTATCCTAAATAAATAAAATCTAAACTACCAGGTGGCATACTGAAGGTATTTAGAAATCTTAGCAGCGCTACATAATCTAATTAAACTATGTAGAGACCTCCAGGACCATTCGATAATTACTCAAGTCCTGCGGTTATGCTCCAGAGAGCGTTCCCTGGACCCTCTTCAAATACTCCACCCTCCGGCCCGCCGCCCTTCCCGCCGATTCCCATGCCTCTGCGTTGACATTTGGGAATTATATTCATCGCATTATGACAACGTTAGCGGCGGAACGTTAGGCCGGCCAAATTGTTTGTTATTAGTTGGAGGAGCCGGGAACAACGCCCCGGCGGCTAACGGGAATTATATCCAACAAGATCTCCGACAAATTAAATATTCCCCGACTGGAAACCTCGCTCCTATTATCTGAACCCGAATATCGATGGTGTTCTACATCTACGTCGAAAAAGTTCTTCGAATATTCAGCGACAATGCGGCCGGTCCATAAAATTTCTTTTATGGCCGTGCAACCGGCTGCATAATCTACTACCCTCTAATACCGCTGATGGGATTACTGATTGAATTAGTTTTCCAATTGAAGGATCCCGACCATCAATCGCTCGGCGCAAATTGAACGCGGCGAAAGGAGAAGTTGGAATTTAATTTTTAACTCGGATCCGTCAATTACCAATCGATTGGATCAAGATTCAAGCAGTAAAATCTCGAAATATCCTTAATTGTAGACGTAGCAGTAATAATAAAGTAGTACCTAGGTAAATAATACGGCGAAGAAATGCATCTGGTTGGATGCAATTCGAATATAAAGATCCAATTTCGAATAATCGAGATGAAATATTAGAGTTAATGGTAGGATATTCAGTTTCCTAGCCGTTCGAACTAAGATACTAATTCGTTAGTTTATGGGAGTCGAGAGGCGAGACTGCATTCGACGAAACGCGGATTTTTCGAACCGGAAAATTAACTCAGTCTCCCAGTTTAGTATACGAACAAGAAATTGCATAAACATTACCAGAAACTAACTTTTCCCCGAGCAACCGACAACACACATTTGCACTTCTGCATCGCTCTTGGAATGCTTCCAGGGGTTTTTGTTGCTTATGAATTCATCGCTATAAAATTCATATCGCCGAGTTAAAGAATACTCGCATATGTATTTTCCTTTTTTACGACCATCTTACGATTGTTTCGCTAATTATCCACTCAATCACCGAAGTGGAACAGACCATTTATTTCAACTGAGAGTTCAAATTTGCTACTTTAAATAGTGATTTATTACTTAAAATTAGGCAACTCGAAATACTCTGACATCACTTATCTTGTATATTCAAACTAGCGCCTAATAAATTTGTATAAAATTCAGTAAGAACGCAATTGAATTTTAGGGAAAATTTATTGGTGATATAATTTAATTTCCTGGCAAAGAAAACTATATAACATGTAATACGTAATGTGATGTTCGTTTTTCTCGTAGAAAACAATGTAAGTTGCAAACCATTTGGCGTGTACTGCATACTAAATAAATAACAAGCGCATATATATCTATATATATCTACATCGCCAAGAATTCAAAATGGACGACAACTTAGAGCTAAATGAAACGACTGAAAGCCCCATAAGAATTATGGTTACATCTGTTATTCGGAATAAACAGCGCTTGTATAACAATAACGGCTGAAGTACTATTAACTTGATTCATGCATTAGCATGCGGAGAGATCGTCGAGCATCATATGAGGCCCTCATGAACATGTCGGGCGAGTAAATCATATCCAGGCTTTCATGCAGTCACGCAATGAGTCACTCGACGAAATTTTGCGAAATTACTTTATGACCTTTCGCGGCGCTCGGATGTATATTGATCAGGAAATTTTACGAGTAGTTAAATCTACATCAGTATATATCGTACGTATGCGAAGAGTGTATAAAGATGTGATAAAAGAATGGAGATGTATAAAAGGAGCTTTTTTCATTTTGGTACTAACAATAAAAGATATTCATATATGGCGAAGGGATGATTAATGAGCAAGTTATATTATTCGGAAATTCTCTATCCATTTGTCTTCATTTCTATAGAGTTTTGTTGTGGGATAATTAGATCAGGTCATTTCTAAATCCTCTACTCAAAAAAGTAATTGATAATAGAAGGACCGTTTTTTTTATTCGACGATTAATTCCGCCTTTTACGTATATGAAACCTAGCTAGTTATCGGCGGAAAAGGAGAAGAATCCTCCGCGGAGCGATTTCCAAATATCTTTCCTTCTATACCGCAACGTAAACATACGACTGCACATTCCCGCTACCGTTGAATATTTCACCTCTGCGTCTCTGATTACAAAGTGAACACTAAGGAAGGCGCCGTATAACTTCTCGTGCCACTACGGCTTTAATTATGCATACCCACATGCTCAGGTCCTTATTACTTATTTATGAACTACCATGCAAACTACTCTTCCTAAATCCTTTCCTTCTCTATAATGGATTCGCGCGAGAGCTGAATATTTATTTTCACCTAATCACATACGTTATTTACCGTACCGAATGTAGATTCAATTTGCTCGGCTTTTCGTTTATTACACATCGCTTATTCCGCCGATGATTGCAACCAGTTGAGCTCTACCATCGGTCGGATATTTCCGAAATTCGTACGTAATTTTTCGCTTTTTCGTCTGAAATCAACACCCGTCCTTCGCCTCCCCGCGGTTCGCTCGCCAGGAAATTATTAAATAAAAACGCGATTTTCGCCAACGACTTTTCGAAAAGTTTCATAACATGTAAATAATATCCCGCGAAGCGGGGATATTGCGATATTTCGCCGTTTCTAAAAGGGGCGCCGAAGTTCGCTGGTGTGCTCGTTATCCACAAGTGGCTGCAGCTCGTGACTTTCCATAATGAACCAACTAAATTGTCATTAACTGGATTAATATGCATTAGCTACCTGTTCCACTGCAGGAGTTTTTATTAAATTACGATTGCTTTGTTACCAAATCCCTCTACATAATACACTCCCCAACGGACATTATTAAACATTTTTCGAACGTTTAGTAACACTTAAGTGAAGCAGGATTATATTGAGAGAAGTTCATTGTAACATTGCGGTATTTTTGTTACAGCAACCGGTAACATGGTGGCGTCTTCTTCGGAGGCGGACAACGGAGCCTCCAAGTCCCGGTTTCCCGATATGAAGACGACGTCGGGCGTCCAAAGGCCCTACTTCGACGACGTCGGGCCCCGAAACGTGACGGCGGTGGTCGGGCAATCCACGTTGTTGAATTGTCGAGTGAAACATCCCGGCGATAGAACGGTGAGTAGAGAAAAATTCGATAGTACGGTGTGTTCAGAAGAGTTTAGATACAGTGTGACCATGGATAAAGTTGACGAGAGGAGAAATATCTGTAAATAATGATTATTTTGTCTTGTCAATTGCATCATCCAGGGACACACTGTAGAAACAACGTAAACAGTTATTGAATGTATAATAAGCTTATGAATAGTTTTTAATACATGTTTTGTATATGAAAATTTGCTGTAAACTGATTAAAAGGTATTTATTAAATGAAATTGTAATAACATTATTATTTGAACAAAGTACAAAACTATACATGTAGGAAATATGTTTGTTGGATTATTTTACGAATCTAATGGATAATTTAGTTGATATTTCGATTGTAATATGAATAATAATTTATTTATTCTTTAGAACATCGAAATTTCCATTACGATCGTATGAAATTCGAGTAAATTAAGCCATTCAATTACCCTCTGTATTAGATAAATTGTAGTTTTCTCTTGGAAGTTGAAATTTGAGTTTTTCCTATACCCAGCGAAAAATCAATTTGCTTAAGAGCGTAACCGTTCCCCCATTGACCCGGGAAAACGTTGTTTTGTCAATACCCTTTGGGCCGTTTTGAGTTTTCCTTTGGTTCGTGAGAGTTCTGCAGCGCCTTAGAGGAAATCGCGATCCCTAAACAGCACAAGTTTTAATGCTTAATATGTTTATGTTTTAACTGAGAGTCGACATGTTAATGTTTTGGGAAATTAATTTGTTGAATTTTCCGCTTTATGAAATTCGCATTTGATACGGCGAGTCGAGTGCCCGAAATTCCGCGCTCGCCCCTTTTTTTTATTTACGTTCGGGGTGTAGTAAATCAAATAAATTCCATACGTGAAACAATTAAATATTCGTTACAAAGCAATTTATGCAACGGGGCGGAATTTACTTTTGCGGGTCCAATTAAACGTTCATTTTTAGCGCTAATTCCGTTCGCTCGGTCGCTCCATTAACTAATATATTTATAATCGCCGATAAGTAATTAGTTTTCTGCGCGGCAAGAGCGCGGCTTAGAAGAATAACCGTTCGCGGAAAAGCTTTTAAAATTTCCGCAGCGCCGGCAGGCCGGAGGCGTCAATTTCAGTTTTATAGGTCGGCAAACGCCGAAACGCCATATGCAGTTGGTGCATGCAGTGCCGTTTGTGCTCAAAGGCAAACAACACCCGTGGGAAATTCCTCATTTCGAAAATATGCCGGCGAAATGCATCATCTATTTGTTGCTGCCTTGTCGCGATGCAGCTGCATTTTACATCACCGATAATAGGGCGTAGAAACGAATGCTTATAGCTATTAGTAATTAGTTATTCACATGACAGAGTGCTTAATTAAAAATACTAGTGCTGTATTCTTCTTTGCATAGAGGGATGAATCGAAACTGGGGTATGATTCAATTGATTTAGCAACTAATTTCGCCGGGAAATCAACAGAGAGCGTTATGGTTTAAATGCAAATTCGTATTTGTTGCTTCGGTCCAGATTAAATCTAATGCGAAACGTTAATAAAGGAAACTGCACAGTGTTCGACTCCGAACACGAATTTGATTGATTCGCAAATTATTAAATAAGCCGATTCTCTTCCAGCTAATGGAGATAAAAGATTCCCATTTACCCGAGCAATGGATTGGCAACACAACCGTCAGACGCTATAATACGCCGATTTATTGGCTTTTAATTCCTTTTGCTTTTCGTTGAATGACGTCTGAGAGAATTATTTCCAAAAAAGTGATTTTATTCAATGCACACGGGCTAACATTCGAGTTCAATGTACCAATAATAACGCCAATAATCGATCAATGAAGTAACCTACATGGAGTTTATTCTTCTCTACCCTATTATTTTTATGTATAGATTTTTAGGTAATTGAATTACGTTCGATTTTTAGAATTAAACTGGGTTTATTATTATTATCATTCTGCGCCATTGTGCTTATCATAATCGTAGACAATAATGGTATTATCCGCAATTCTAAAAACGCGGCTTTTGTAGAAATTTTTATTAGCGCAGTTAACGAAGTTTATCGGCGCTGAAAAAAAATCTGTCCTTTTGGAAACCCTTCATTCGGATCTAATTCGGAATAATGGGAAAGTTCCCGCCGCGGCGCCGCGCCGTAAATGGCGGTTTTTTCTATATTTTTTTTTTTTCACAGGCACAATTTTCACTACATAAGGTTGATTTTTTACGGGAACGCGACTCGAACAAATAGAGCAGCTCCTGTTGAAATGTAAGTCGATCCATCACGGTGACGTGCGAGCAACCAGCAAATGTGGGATAGCCAGGATTTTTTTTTCATTTCGCTACGTGCCGGATTAATATACATACATTACATTCGCCTTGCTAAGCTACACGCTCAGAATGAGAAATACAAATAATAACACCAGCTAAATACTACACACCTATATTGCTAAACGTAAGGAACCCCAAACATTTTATTATTGCGGTTTTAGTGCTAGTTTTATGCAGCAGAAAAAAATCAAATATATAGCATTTTATTTTGTCATGCAAATACGAACTTAGTGGATATCAATAAAATAAAAGTATATCGAATCCGGTATAACCCTCAATAATGGAAACAAACGAGTGTTGCTAGTTTTGAATACGAAAATGTATTTTACATCGGAGGCCGCACATTTAAATAATTCCGCATCGAAAAGGCGAGAAGAAGGCACCGAAAACAGGCATAAAGAAAACCCAAGATTACCCTAAACCTGTCAAAGGACGCGGAATCGGCAAATATTTTCGCAGTTCAATGCAAACAGCGCTTTCTCCGACATTTCGCCTCTTCCCCGTATGAGGAAAGGAAAAAAAACTATTATTTTATCGGGGTCGGATTTCGATTCGTTCCGGATACTGTTATTAAGCTTTAAATAATTCAACGCTAAGCCGCGCTTTCTCTCGCCCAAGCCGGAGTTTGTTCAAGCAACTCGTTTCCAGGTAATCATATAAGATAATAAAGATAATCCGGGAGCGTTAACGCCCCGTCAACGTGCGTAACTTCTAACTTCTTGCCGGAAATCCGGCAAAAGAATCTGACATGGGCGCATCTCATCATGAAACTTCCCCTCAATTTACATCAAATTATATTTAATTATAATACACCACAACTAAAGAAGATAGAACATTAAAATCTTTAATCCTGCAGAAACTTTATGGGGCATAATTTTTTTTTCAGTGACGTGATGTAGGTTTTCGTTTGCCCTGACGAGCCGCCGCCGAGTCCCGAGTCTCACGAGAAGGGGGGGCGGGCAATAATTAGAACGAAATTGTTGTTGTAAGCCTTACAAAACCCGAATTACGCGGATGAAGGCTCGAGCTTGTAACTTAGTTTCCGCAGGAACGATTAGAACGTCGAAATTTATCTAAAGGAGACGATTCGAGTTGTACTAGACAATTCCGGGATCGCGAATTTTGCATCAAAAATGTCCGTTAATTAACGAGACGATTCGAGGAAAAAATTCCAATAAACACACTCGCAATTTCCTGTTTAAATTTCCCCTTTTCGAGCATTCATTAATTACGATCATTAGCTAATTAAATTTCGCGTCCAATTACGTTAAAAGCGCTAAGCACAATGTCCTTATATTGTTTTTTTTTGCGTTATTTCTACTGTTGTTTTCTTTCGCGGATGATTCTTCCGCTTGTTTTTCTTTTATTTCGACGGCATTAAAGTTTTCGTGAGTTAGTCCTGTCAAATTTTCGAACTATAAACCCGGCATTCGAGCAATGACAGACGGAGTATTCCGGAGGAATGTTTCTGTCAGTTACAAAATTATTCTTATTATAAAGTTTTTAATATTAGTTTCGAAACTCGACTGGAAATTGGCAATTTCAATGTTAATTTGATGGCGGATCTGTATTAGGGACAGGTTTCATTAGCTCTAATCACTGCTGGTAAATAACTGTCTTGAATGTGATATATTTACAGCGTTAAACTATTTCGTCCGGATTTTGACCAAGGGTTAAATCTGTTCGAAATTAATTAAATTACCAGGGGTTGAGGGTAGACGCGTAAATTCCTCATAATTCGTATTTATGTTATCATTTAGCGTTTATATTAACCCGACCGTAAATCCTACAACACTTCCTTTAATTTTTATTAGCTCGTTATTATCCAACATACAATTCTAAAGGAATCTTGTAACTTTTAAGTAACTAAAAAATAGTTGGTAATACTGTAAGAATTTTCTAACAAAACGTAAAAGAATAAAAAGCGAGCTAATCCGAGTATGTAGTTAGCTTAAGGAGTTTCCGGAGTATATACGACATGACACACTCAACGCGACTCTCGGCTCCGGGAGTGATTTCCACTCCGGTACGTAGTTAGGCGAAATTGGTTTCGATAAAATACGATCGCCTTCGGAGTTTTTTGCGGGAGGACGTGCGAATTTAAAAAAATACACCTCCCCGGGGGCAGCGACTTAAAGGGCCATCGAGGGTCCGCGTAATGTAAATGCGGGCGAAGCACAAAGGGTGCGAGTCGAGCAAATAAGGGTGTGATGGTTAAGTGACTGTCGGGGAATTTTATTAATTTCGTCGTGGAAAATCTCAAGACGGAGCCCGACTAGTTCGAGATAATCTTATTCGGCGGTTTTAATTAGTGTTGGTTTTTGAAGAGATAAACTCGTCGACGTCCCTCGGACATCGAATTCGGCGCATCGGGCCCTAATAAAGGGCGGAATCCTCGGTGGAAGGTTTCACGATAAATTAGGATTCCAGGTCCACACGAAACGGGACGAAATCCTCCGATAATCCAGCGAAAGTTATATTGACCTTAAGTAATCCGTCCTTACTGGAATTTTCCCGCTGAGAGGCGGTGCCGGATCGCGTTTTCTTAGTTTATGCAACGGCTAAATTGTGTCGTCTATCACCCTTTCCGTTGCCAATTAACGATAAATTTCGCTTTTCGGACTAATTACTTCGCTGGATGTGTTGTCGCAAATAAACCTCTAACTATTCGCAAATAAAATGAAGTAACAGCGCCGGCTCGAAGGGCAAAAAACAAGGAATTCTCTTTGATCCGCCGCTGGATTCCCTTAGGTACGTCGTTAACGCGTTTTTTTTTTGTTCAAAAAGAGAATTTCTGTTCGACGTCGCAATTACCAGTTAAAAATACTTCAACTTTGTAGTAGGCACCGCGTTCTTGGGCGTCCTCTCGGCGCTTTTGTCATGGAATTATGTGCGATTGGTCTCGCGGAAACGAGAGTTCCTATTTTTTTTTCTCCGGGTTATTCCGTGAAGCTTAATTGGAAATTATCCTGTTGCGATTTTTACCGTTTGCGGATGCGATGTTAGATTATACGAATGGGAACATTACACACACTTGCGGCGCTAACTTTCCCGATTTTAGCATACAATACGCATTATTGAACGGTTCGGCCCATCTGCTTCGACGTCGAGATGGAGTGGTGAATACAAGTGGACAAATAAGGGTATACAGGAAAATCTGAATACAACTAAAGGAAGAAATTTCGAGCTCAGATTGCATCGTTACTACAACAACAAAAAAAACTCCCCTTCCAGATATGTATTTTTTTACGTCTTTGCTTGGCTCAAAATCGTCATATAATATTGATATTTGATCAATAAAATAATAATGTTTACATTTCTCCAATATCACAAAGCAATTTAAAGATAATAACGTTTTCATCTTTCACGTAACAAATGTACCAAATTGCCACACTTATAGTACTCAAGTTTTTCCAATAGGCGCAGTCAGTAGGATAATAAAAATAACTTTTCACACATAACGAATTAATTCCATAAGTCTTACTCGATTCCCCTATTTAATTACATCCCGCTTACTCATTAAAGTTTAATCGAACATGAAGCCTTAATAGTACGTTCCCGCGAATAAAATCGAACGCGTTATTAACAACACTATTACCGGCCTTCACGCGATACTTTCAAGCCCGAAATAATTAGATGTTTGAGCTTCGCATCGAAGCGCGATTTACATTGTTATCGAACATTATTCCAACAATGCATTGTAATTTGCGGCGGGAAAGAATCATTTTTCCGTTAATATGTTAATGTATTCTGTTACTTCCTCTTTCACGCCGCTCGACCGGCAAATTCCCAAACAAGTCGGAAAGTTTCCAGCTCTACACTAGGTAGAGAAAGGCTCATTTGCATGCATGATTAAAAGTAGAATTCCAAACTACTACGCAGGTCGACTGAACGTTGAATTGATCCTCTTGGATGTTAAGAAGACTTCAAATTAGGTCAAAATATTATGTATGCTTGCACTTCTCTTCGTTGTGGAATAAACGGAAGTTTTGCTTTTGATCGACGATCAACTAGGTAACGTATTTATGTAGAAATTAGGATTAAGTAGGGGATGGAATTTCCGAGCGATTAGAGAACGTTTTCCAACGAAGAGGGTGCCGGCGGAAAAACCCTCACTGTTGTGAAAATATATACGTATCTCCGCGAAATGAAATTATGAATGGAACGCGGGAGGCACTCGAGAAAAGCCGCAATCGCATCCACGTTCGGTTGAGCGTCGAGATTTTCGTTAATAGGACCAAGACGGGTATTGCCGTAATTGATTTAGAACTTTGATTTCACGGATGGCCGGCTCCGTACGGAAAATTCAACATTTTCCGGCGCCCCGGAATATTTCGTTCGGCGAAAGTCGATCCGCCGAAGCTCTGGAATTCGACCCGCCCGAATGCGGTCAATCAGTTTGCAGAATTAAATGCTAAATTATATTTATTTTCGCTACAAAAAAATTCTACTAATTCGATTTAAATGTAGAACTAAGCCAATTCTGAATAACTTTAAATTCAACAAAATGGAAAGTTCGCTTAAAAGCAACACTTAGAAATCTACAGGAACCTCTGCCTGCTTTAGTTAATCATCACCAATATTACCTAATCATTTCCAAGACCAATCATCACCAAAACCTTTACCAAGATCCATCATTATCAGGACCAATCTTCACCATAATCCATCATCCCCAAAAGCCATTATAATCAAGACCAATCATCGCCAATCATTACCAAAACCAATCTTCCCCAAGATCCATTACCAAGACCAGTAATGACTCAAATTAATTATCACCAGAAACTTCCAGCACTTTTATTAAAATAATAGGTAAATTTATACACCTTCTACTTACAAAATCCAATTAAATTTAGGTAAATATCCAAAATTATCGGTATATGTATAGGTAGATATATCCAGCCGCAAATCGCCGTCGGTTTCCTGACACATAAGCGCTTCGTATTCTATTAATTAAACCAATCATTTAATCCATTGGGCTCGTTAAAGGGCGAGGATATGACGTCGGGTATATCGCCATTGATCGGTCGGTCACTCACCAAAGGCCATTATCTCTCCAATCAAGAGGAATGAGCTTCGACCGCGAGCAACACAAAAGGATGGCTCGGCCACGCAGCGACTGTCAGTCGAATTTAATATACATACACAAGGAACTTTCACTCGACACGATGCGAAATTGGACAATTTCGTTTGCAAACTCCACTGCGTAATGCGCAATTCGCCATTCACTTGGCTTATTGGTAGTTGCATCATCAAGGATTATTATTTGGTAATTGGACGGTTCGTACATATCTGGAAATTCTATGAGTAACTTCGTGGATATTGTTTAGCGAAAATTTATTCGAAGATTTACTAGATGAAAGTAAAGAAATAATGGAATTTTTGGTGTATATCCATCTTGTGGGATAAAATTAAAGAGTTCCTTTGGACTATTCTAAGAATAGTTAGTTGAATAAACAGTAAATTAAAATTATATTTTATGTTCTTATTAAGTCACCTAAATTGTTGTTTTATATGTAATTAATGCTCGTTAAGGGTTTTTTAATATGCCATTCGTCTGGAATAGAGTTCGTAATTTTCGACCCGTGCAAAATCGCCCGTCTCTCTTACCGTTTACGACAAATTGGCTACATTTTCATCATCAATAAACTCCCCTTCGCGTTCGCCGTAATGGATTGGTTTAATTCCGATGAAAGGCTCTCAGGTATTTTGAACAAATTTCGAAATTTCCAGAATAACGCGAAATAAAACATCAACTAATAAAATTTCCGAAACGTTTTGTTTCCGATTATCGGCTCGCCGTCGAAAGTAGCGGAATCGAATTAGCATTTATTCAAATTTTAATCGATTTATATTCAAATTAGCAGCCAGAATACACACTAATAAATGTTTGATTGTTTGCCGCTCCACTACCCGCACATTAAAGTTTGCGCTACTGGAAAATTTAACCCAATTTATATCGTCCCATTCCCGCCATTAACCGCGCTAATAGTCGTCTAAAAACTTATGGAATGTAAATCTGACGTCGCGCCCCGTTCGTTCCAGGTATCCTGGATGCGAAAACGCGACCTCCACATCCTGACGTCCAGCATCCACACGTACACGGGCGATGCCAGGTTCAGTGTTCGGCATCCAGAGCACTCCGACGATTGGGATCTACGCATCGAATATGTCCAGAAACGAGACGCCGGCGTCTACGAATGCCAGGTCAATACGGAGCCCAAGATCAATTTGGCCATCATGCTCAACGTCGACGGTGAGTCACTTTTACCGCACCTGGTGCTTCTTAAAACCGCCTATGTGAACCTCTAGCATCTTCACCATAAATAAATAAAATGCTTGCTGGGTTTACGCAGGTCTTAAATCCCGCTTACTAATTGCTCTACCTAATATATATGTAGTTAGTTCTTCCCTTGTATGATTGTACTGTCTTCTTTTTTGTTGTGTACTTACATAGTTCGATGTCTTTAGCTTGGTAAGCGTGTAAAGAGTAATTGGATCATCGATAGTAGGCTTGTATGAATGTATATCGTTAATGGTGTTTCGCCTGGGCGGGCGTACAGCCAATTTATAAGAAAATTTATAAAGGTCGTGCAATTACATTCCGATTTGACGACGTTCATCCCGGATTGATTTTGTATTGTGTTTTTCGCGTTTCGTCCCCCTTTTGGAAAGAAGGGACGTCTTTCATTTTATTTATTCGGTTTTATTTCGCTCCTGACGTGACTGACTTCGAATCGTGCTGTACGAAATAACTTCAGTGCCGTACCGATCTATTTTACTCGGCTATCTCTCGTATCGAAAACTCGTAGCTCGTCATTAATACCTCACTTTGATTTTCCGTTGATTATTCCACGTGAAAAAGTAACAAAGCACGTGCAAGTTGGGTTGCATATAGCTTATAAATTTACGTGTAAATGAATGTATTGATTCGAATGTACTGGGTCATGCTAATATGGAGGTAAAGCCATAGGTACGTCATTGTGTAGGTAATACTTTTTGGTAAAGAATTCATCCGAATGCGATATGGAATTCTGAAAGAGTGCTTTCACAGTGTCGAAAGGACACAATAGGAACTTACAGGGAATTTGCCGATAACAAAGTATATATTCGACCGCGACCGCTGGAATATTGAAAGCTTTCAGTAGGAAGCCGAAAAAAAAATACATAAAAATACTTACAATAGATTCGAACATTGAGGGATAAAGAATTTTATCATGCAAAAGCAAGAGGAGCGAATAAATTTATATGCAATGGATCAAAGCGGGACTCAGACGGACTTATTTCGATGGTGGTTGTTTTTTTGTATTCCAGTCGGACTTTAAACCAGATTTTTCCGGAACTATGGAAAAATCCAAATACTCGATTGCATTAGAAACTATTCACGGTTTAACAGCGAAAACTGTGGAGAGCTTCGAGAAGCCCCGTTTATTTCTGGGTAAGATATTTCAGCGGAATTATAAAGAAGAATTAACCCCGGGTGCCCGGGATTCTTTGATCCGACGCTTTTTCCTTCGCAAAACGAAAATGTATCTTTTCATCCGGGCGGCTGGAACAATAGTCAGTAATTCTAACGAATAACCTCTTTCGACCTCATTACGAAAAGTGGTATGTTCGGAACTCCTCCGGTTATGTCGCAAACGGTGATTACGTAATTGTGGAGTTGGTAAATAGGACGATAACGAAGGGGGAGCGAGCGAAAACTTTTTCGAATTAATTCGCCGGGATGAAAATCAAGGTTGCTATTAATTAGTAGATTAGATGAATATTAGAAGAAAAAAAAGGGATGTGCCACATTTTTTTTCTACATCTCTCCACCTCGTGCATGTCGCCGCACGCTTTAACTAACAGCTATCGGAGGGTTGATAGAAGCAACTAGAAATTAGCGTTTTTGTTCCTTTTGTTCCAGACTTATCCTCCCTTGCTGCCACGCATCCAGGCCCTCGACCCAAAGGTACATATAAATATACGTTATCCTTTTCCAGAATTGGACTGGCTAATATAAATATCCAAACTCTGTTTTTTTATAACCCCCTTGCTTTGCACCTATGTTTATTAATACAAACTGTACAAAAAAACAGAGTTAAATTGTATGAACTAGCCGGTCCAAGTCACTACAAGTAGTTATTTTGCACGTTTCTTATACTCATTAATGCACGATACTATTATCCTACATTATTTCTCATCTTAGTGTAAATTTTTTTATACATTACGCGACTAGTTATTATCTACTAATCTCGCAATGCTAATAAAGATTATAAATCCAACCCTGCGAACGCCAAGTCGCAATTTATAGCCCTTCCTCTCTATTGTTCATTCGTTTTCAGCCATGTTCTGAGAATAATTATCATGATTTCCTCTCAGATTTGTGCTTAGTTTACAGACTAGGCAAAAACAAAACAAGGCCTGCATGCGAATTAATAGATGTGGGTCGCATCGGGGAAATCGAAACGTAACAGACGTGAAAATCCCCTTCGCGTAATTACTCCGAATTAAACGTTAAGAAATTAGAAATACTATTAGATCACCAGTTTATGATTGTATCACGGTGTGGTAGGGTGTAAATATTTCTAAATAACAGTTGATTAAAATTGCTGTATACTTAAAATTTTCTATTTTGTTATAATATGTTTTCCAACGCCCCCAATTTCTGGTTAATTTATCACAACCCTCTTTTCTAAAAACCTTGGAAAACTAATTATGATTCAATATCAATACGGCCCCTAACGTTATTTCGGACGAGATAAATTGCTTACCTCACATTTGGCGGAGTTTCTTGCGATAATTCGCAATTTCGAATGGCTCCCATACAGCCGGGCGCAACGTTAATTGGGCGCGCCGAAGGGGCGACGGGGGAAGCACCTGCATACCTGAACTATGATTAAAGCATCGACCTTAATTTCCAAGTTTGCGCGTCCCGATACTTTCGAATTAACCGGGACAGTTACGAATTTACTTTATACTAAATCCCGAAAGCTATACAGTTTTAATTACGTTAACTGGTTAAAATCTGGTCGATACCACGGTTGTTATTCACGACGCAATTCGCTATACAAAGTAGGAATGTTTGTTGTTCGTAAAATAAGTTATAATTTTCCATATAAACATGGTGGTTTTGTTGGATTTTTGCAGATGCTCAGGCTTCGATTTCGGGACCGCCGGAGGTGTACGTGAAGAAAGGCAGCACCATATCGTTGACTTGCACAGTCAACGTGCACTCGACGCCGCCTTCGTCTATTTTGTGGTACCACGGACACGCCGTGGTGGATTTCGATTCGCCCAGGGGCGGGATCAGCTTGGAAACGGAGAAAACCGAAGCCGGCACCACCAGCAAGCTCTTGGTCACCAAAGCTCTGCTGTCCGATACGGGAAATTACACGTGCATGCCGTCCAACGCCAGTCCAGCGTCGACTGTAGTCCACGTTCTGAACGGTAAGTTCGATGAAAATTTTGGTGAATTCAAATTTGCGCCATTGGGAAAGCTGCCATTGGAAAGATGAATTTGAATAGGCGGCTGTAGAAGTTAGGTGTGGACTTTTATTTTTTAGGTTTTGCGCCAACTTTCGGCGCTGGTGCAACTTTTATTTGCATAATATCGCTTACCTCATTAGAGCGGGCGAAAAGTCGCGGGAAACTTTCGGCGAGACTGTAGACCGGTCGTCTAATGAATCAAATCGTTTGATTTATCGAGTAAATTTTACTTTATAATTACTTAAATTAGTAGAAAGAGAGATTACTTTATCCCGTTCTGGAATCTTGTGTACACACGATCTCGTTCCAGTAAACTGGAGAATTCGTTTTATTTGTATACCCGGGTTTTCTTCCATTTAATTAACTCACCTTGACATCATTTGAAACGATATACATCAGAGGCGTGCTTTCAATGCGCCATTGAAATCAAGATTCTTTCATTTTATCTCTACATCTGTTTTCTCCCAACTTTTACAAACCCCAAAAGGCTCCAACCATCCTCAATCATATTGTACAAAACTTTTGCACTGTTAAATATACACTGACGTGTAAATAATCGCACATGGCATATCTGTAATCGAGTATATTCGTTGTTTGAATTGAACTAACACCAATTTTGTGAGTAGTAGGTAATCCAAATAGAACAATGATGGTCATTAAAACATTTTAGGCGCACATGCTTTATTTACACGTTTCCTTTATAGTGTAGTTCGGTTTGCTGTTTGACGCATTAAAACAATGACAATTTCAATGCCCGTATGTTCGATATAGAGGCTTCCGGTACACAATGGGAAACTACAAAAATCGATGCGAAAAAATTCTTAGTTTAATTAGGAGTCGCCAGGAGCAGCGCGTTTGTGAAAATTTTCTCATATCGGAAAGTCGGTATATTATAACCTTTTTTTATTGAATCCGGGGGACAATCAAAGATGGTTTTTTATTAGCGGCGTAAAATTTAATATAAAACCGTCGGAAGAAGTTTCATATCTTTGTCAATAAGATATGGAAGTCGAGTTGCCGGTTTATTACTTTACGTTTGCACCGGGTGATGGAACTCTTAAAAATAAACGGACCAAACACAATAACGAGATTTTTCTTTATACGATTCGTTTAATCTCGAGACGAAACTGACGATCCGAAGATTATTTATAGTATTGATCAACTAAATTAATAGCGAAGTGAAGTTTCATTAAGTTCTTCGAATATCTGATACCATTTTTTGCGACTATAAATTCTGGTGTATGAGCACAAATTTAAAATTTTGGCGGAACATATACCCACTGTTACAACCAAAAAAATAAGTGATTTTCAAGAATTTTTTTGGTAGGGATAATTAAGGAATAAGGGATTCGCGTTTATAGTGTATATTCAATACACTTCAATAAACAAACTACACTAATTGTGCATGTAAACCATACAAACGTTTTAAAATTCATCGGATCGAGCGCGGTAGGGTAAACGATAAACAAACAGGCAAATAGAAAAAAACACTGTTCTCCGGTTTTTTTTTTTCTCTGGATATCCTTACTTGAACATTCTTCGAGTCGATTGCGAATCTCCGAACTTCCCGATAGCCGGACTAGCGGTTGCCGTAATTCCATCCCGAGGACTTAAACGCCATCGCGCTTCCATTTGTATTCGAAACGTCGCTTTGATCAGAATGTACACTACAAAGTTTCCTGCTTTATTCAACCCCATTCCCTGTTCTATATCTACTCGACCTCGATGGACTCCGCGTTTCCCGTTTTAAGACCGCGGCTTATCGCTAATTAATCGTCAATATGCAGAGATTATAATGATTTTTTTTCTTTGCAGGTGAACATCCTGCGGCGATGCAGACCAGCAGGGCGGCGCCCCATCATCAGATGACCCTGCTGGCTTCGTTTTGCACCCTCATGGCCGCCACCCTAACCAGATGATTATATCTTCGGTAAAATATCAATCGTGTGCTCATTTCGTCTAGACGGTAAATAGGACAGCAAGGTGTAATTTCAACAGTGCATTATCGCGACAATTACAAAGAATTCACTATGTATACAGGGTGAGTCACGAGGAATTGTACATACTTTAAGAGTGTATCGAGGCACTTAAGGGGAATATGAAATTATTAGTTGTAGTCGATTCTTTTTTTAGGGAAGGAATTACCGGGTGAATTATAAATCGAGATTTTTTTTTGTACCATTATACCACAGGTCAAAGGGTTCTAATTCATCACCATGAAGATGAAATGAAGTAAAAAAATCCCCTTTATTTCTTTCTCTGTATTCAACTTTTAATGGATATTTGATACCACCCTTAAGTGCCTCTATATTTTATTAAAATGTTTACAATTCTTCATTACTCACCCTGTATACAATGTGTTTATCAACACCCTATGGTAATGCAAGCAATCGCTCTGTATAGCAACATCGATATAAAAATGGAAAGAAACTTGTACTGATAAATTAATGTTAAATAACCTACATATTCTTATTCTCGTTCCGTTTAAAAACCTAGGTAAAAATAAGTTCGTTCCTTGCTAACTGTCTGAACACTGTCTAAATCTTAGTGTACATAAATCAAGAAAATGTTAGAAGAAGAGTTTTTATATGATTTCCCCGCGAATGCATGAGTGGCGTACTTTCTGGTGCTAATCCAACGGGGACTGATATACGGAATTATGGTAAAAAAGATATTAAGTGTGTGCGTTTAAGAAAATTCGGAATTTTCGGCTCGGCCGACGATCGGAAATGCTGTTGGGAAATTTTCGATTTTCGGCCGGGGGGCCTTTAAAAAAATTGTACATAGCAATTCGTTTTATATTTCTAGAAGCACGTTAGACACAATTTTAGATAAAAAAAAATCATTGTAATTAATTATTACATGTTGACTATATGTAGATAATATTGTTATCAATCATTATTGACGTACGAAATGTTTATTGGTTTAATTTTGTTACCGTGCAGCATGAAAACTTCGACAATCAATTTAATTTTCCGATTTTCAATAAAACAAGTAACAGTTTATTTCAATTATTGCTACTGTTTTGTTTAATTTTGTAAATTTATAACATAAATTCCGAAATGCAATTGCGTACTAATTCTTCATAATTATTTTCATGCTACACCGGAACAAATCGGAACAAAAACTCATCGACCCGAATTTCCTTGTTATTTAATTGTTTAGTTTCGTTCCGCATTTTTTGATCTTGCCGCAAAATCAAAAAATACAATTTTGTTACGGATATTTTTATAAATTGTAGTTATTTCTAACCTCATCGACACTTGTAATTATCATTGTAAATAAATACTTAACTGTAAGAAAAATAAACATAGTTCGTAAAATATCGCTGCATCATTTAATTAAATCCTTTATACAACGTTTAAAATATGCGAATTCCGTGACTGACATTTCTTATCGGCCATGCGAATCGTAAATTTATAACGCTTTGTGATATTTATTCATAAAGTGTCCGGCTTTATGAAAGCCTTTTCTATAAGCGCTCATTTATTTTCACAGAAAAAAAGAGCTTTCTTCATAACGAAACGCGACAAAAATATCGCTTTAATTTCAACACAATCTTAGAAATACATCGTTGGAGAATTAAAGCCACTTTAATAAAATTCGCAATGGAAATACGAATACCAAGTTTGTGGTGGTATAATACTATGGAGTGAATTTATTCTACTCAATACTCATCTTAGAGTTGGACATTAAGCGAGAGTGTAATCTAGCTCTGGGGGCGAATTTATCGCGGCATTCTCGCATTAAATCTGCCCTTCGACGGTCGCATAAATCACCGTAATTAAATTTCACGGGCTCTAATAGTTTTCAATAAAAAGCAAAATTAGCGGCCATTTTAGCGAGCTCTGCGCCGGCGATTAATCAAGTTTCGCGTTATAAAAAAAACGGGCAGAATTTAAATGAACTTCGACTTCAAGATTTCATCCTCACATATCGCGTTCACCCTACTTTTACCAGCTTTTTTTGTCGAATATCCGATAAATAAACGGATTTTTTTAATAATATTTTTGGCGGTGCTATCTCGGTTCCTCATGCTCACCAGCTGAACAAACAACAAGAGAGCTTTATATTTGTTTTTGGGATTTCAATTTTTTAATTCGTTTAAATCGAAAATCGGATTTTTTCATCGACTCTCCGGGTCTATTGTTTAAAGGAAGTTACTTAAAGGAATCCCTACCGAAACGTAAAAAATTTAGTCGAGTTGGTTTAGGCCAGGTACGAACTATTATACAAACAAACTAATTCATCCGTAACAATCAAGCCGATATCCCGGGGGAGTTGGGAAATACAACGCGTGTACAAATCCAGTTAAGGTAATAGATGTTCCGTAGCGATACGAATTGATGGGGTTTCATGTGGGGATGTGTTCCGTCTTACTTGTAAACTGGAATCAAATTATTATGACATCTGTCTGGTTTAATTATCTCGCTGTTTACGCTCACTAACTGCGATGAATTCGGCATGTTGTGGTATCAATTAGGCGCGGATATACCGAATTATTCAAATAATCTACAATAGATATTTATAGTTCATAATAAATACAAAACTCTTTAGGGGGAATCCCCCTGACTACTAACAACAATTTACAAAAAACCTAATTAGTTAATCCATATGTTGTGGCAGTTAATTTGTAATTACCTACGATTAGATTAAGACGGTAATATTGCATTAAAGTTTAAACAAAGATCGTCTGTGGTGAATTCGACGTGTCACATGCAGAGTTTCATCAAGTGCGAAGCTGTTTAAAATGGATAATTCGATTTATAATGTACCCTGGATCATTTTCAACATTCGACTAATTAATCTCACAATGCACTCGCAGGATACGAGAGGTGTTAAATAACGCGAATATAATACATCTATTATATTATTTCCTCTATATATCTAGAATTATATAGAATAGGGATTAGGAACCTTTAGTGCGAAATTCTAATTCATACAGGGTGTTCTACAACTTACGGTACTAAATTCTAGGGGTGGTAGTTTAAATAATTTGAGACCGATTCGCAGATTTAATTTTTCTAATAAATTTATAACAAACAAAATTGGAAATATTGAAAATATTTCAAAGAAATGCGGTCCTGTACATCGGTTGACACCCCTAGCTTGACCACGTGATAGATCGCGTTTACCATAGGTAAAAATCGACAAAATAATAATATATAAAATAAGAGTGATATCTTATTCGAATTTGTTGATTACTTATTTATTCGATTTGGTCTCTAAATATTTAGAATCATAGATAAATTATTAAATTAAACCGGGGTTTTCCATCAATAGGCGAAAATAAACTTTAAACTCAAAAGGAATATTAACTCACCTATTTTTTTGTTGAAAGCTGCTTAATTGTTCCAGAACATCACTATAACGAACAAGAACTAACTAAACTAAGAACACTAGGAACAAAATCAAATAAATCGCTAAAGTCTAATCACAAAAATCTATTTAATCCCGATGTTTTAAACAAAACAATACAATTCGCACTAGACAAACACACGGTATCGGTAACTTTCTTCGAAAACTGGAGAGCGGAAGGGGAAATTTCCGCTCGCTGATAAATACACCGAATCTGTTTTTTGCGTTAAAATTCCGATCAGCTGACTATTCAGGCCAGGGTTGTACTCGCTCTTTGCGTTTATTTCTAATGGCTCTATTTTGTTTATTATAAGTTCGAGAACACCCTGTATTTCAGTATTATCGACATTGGTTCATAATGCATTTGATGTGGGATATTTTAATGTATCCATTATTTTTTTAAATATTTCTCGTGGAGAATATAAACAGCGGATTAATAAATCATCAGCATCTGAACGTGAATTTCGCTCTAATCGACTTAACCGTAATTTTTTTCAAATGCGCCGAAGAAAAATTGCTAGATCATCATATAAATCGATGTAATTAAAGTTAAGACCGAACTCTCGAGAAATTTCGCTATTCTTTCGACGATTTAATTGGAATTTTAATTTCCAGTTGCGATTTATAGCCCCTTCGAAATCTGCAGATTGTATCAAACTAACGAAATGAAGGAATAAGTCGTAAAGAAACTCACTATTTATATTTAAAAATATTTAATCAATAAATTATGTACAGTAAATAGCGTTGATTAATTTAAGAATAATAATAAACTTAATGATGATAGTAGTAGATTAACTGTTGTTTTTATTAGGTCGTTTGTTCCAGACGATTCTAAAGCTATTGGATAATCCCTTTGCATTGCTTCAGAATGTTCTGCTACAAAAGAAGCAAGAAAAATCTATTAATAAAATAGTGTGTTGGTAAAAAAATAATTGTTAGAAGCACATATCAATTCAAACACAGACATTTTAGGGTTTTCCAAAGGGAAATTTACCTTCGACTACAACGAGCTTGACACTGTCAGGCTTCACGGATGGCTGCATGCACGTATATCGCCCGCTGTCTTCCATCGTAACGGCCGACAGTCGGATCCTGCTGAAGATTCTTTGATCCTTATCCCTGTACTCAGTCTCCACCGAAACGTTATCGTTCGCGATCTGAACAGACGAGCAACAACAACTTATCTATTTACGAATTAAAATTTAAATGGCTCACCGTAGAAGAGAGCTCCTCGCCGTCGTGCAACCACCTAACCGACGGTTGCGTGGTGCTGGTGAAGAACAGCCGGTGCACGCCGGTTTGCAGCGAGAACGGCGATATTTCGCAGGAAAGGCTCGCCGGAGAGCCGTTCGGCACGTAAACGGTGCTCGGTCCTTTTATTAGAGCTCGACTCACCCATTTAGAGTCCGATTGCTCTTCGAGCGGGCTCCGATAACCTGCAACTGATATCGAAAACGAATAGAAAAATGCAATTACCTATTGTGAGAATACGGGGGATAATAATACAGATTTTACTTTAATATTAGACTAGAAAAAATATGCACTGTTGGAAAGTAATTCGCGCATAATAGGGAAATCAATGTTAATTTCTTAGCCGTCTGAAATACAATCTACCAGTGTATATTTCAATAGAACGTCGCGATAAATTCTAAAAAAATTTAATTGTTCTACTGGACTTCACACCGCGCTTTTGGTTCCGTTTGCTTTTGGTTTAGATTAAAAATCAAATAAACTGCTCCGCAAAAGTTAAGGAAGTTCGCAAATTTAGCGATTATTATAACAGTTACAGACTTTTTGGATCACCAAATTTTCAAATGTGCGAAATTAAATGTTTTCTTTCATATCTGAGTGGATTTTTTGCCCCTACCTCTACAACTCATACAAAATTTGGCGATCAAAAAACCTGCAACTTGTACTCAATAGTTGTGAACTTTCTTAACTTTTGCGGAGCAGTTTAATTTCGACGGTTTCGACACTTCGACAGTATCAAAACGGGTGAACGTCGAGTCGGATAAAAAGAAATGAGAATTTTTAAACGATAATTTATTGAAAAAATATCACTAATATTAAAATAGAATTATGTAGATATGTCTTTTCGCCACAAAGGCTTGAAAAAAAAGTAAATTCTAAAAAAATAGTGTAAAGGAAATTCCAAAAATACACTTAAAGATAATTTTAAAATAAAAAATAAAAGAACTCTAAAAAATAGTCCACCACTTTCTGCTAAACTATAGCCGAAGCGGTTATACAGATGTCATCTCATATTACTGAGCTGAGGTGTAATTCTAGCAGAAAATTGAATTATTTTTTCCCTTATTTCAACAAGATTTGTTGCTATTTCAAAACTGTATCTACCGATACACATATTTTTTTGAAATATCCCCAAAAAAACTATTAAATGTAGTTTCTAAATAATTTTGTACCTCATACTTAACGCAAATAACTTTGTACCTCTACAAATCGCGACGTTCTATTGAAATGTACACTGGTAGATTGGATTTCAGCCGGTTAAGAATTTAACATTGATTTCCCTATTATGCGAAATTAAATTTCCAACGATGTATGAATAAGTGTGAAAATAAGCCCCTCACTCGCCCCCTTTTATTTTTCAACCAAAAACGGGGACATCATTTCGTCGCAAAAACTAATTTTACGTAACAAAAAACGAGTCGTCAAATATTTATGAATATTAGGTGTAATTATCGCGACATTGATATATCATTGCGTGCGGCCCTTCGCCCCCTTTTTTCCGTGTTTGCTCCTTTAAAGCGGCGCGCTTTCGGGGCCTGCGGAGGCGCGAAAGACGCGCGAAAAAATCCATCAGGCCGGCTCCTTCGGGCCAGACAAAGACAAAGCTGACGGCGTTGAAAAATAACGGGGGGTCGTTCTTTCGAGGAAAAATTCGGGCGAACGCTATTAATCACCGTATAGCCGAGGAGAATGCGTAAATACGTTTAAATACCCGGGAATTTCGCTCCGGTTGAAACTGTATACAGTACGTTCCTAATTTATAAATTCATTTTGTTTAAATGTGTGAAATTAGAAAAGGAACATTTGGAACAAGCTGAGAAATCTTAAGGGCGCCACTTCAGGGTATTTTTAAATGGGAAAACATAGGTTCAGTAATTCCAGTAAGATTTAAATTTGGCTTCATCAACTGATATGAATCTTTCTTATGCCTAATATAGAGACTCCAAGCAATGATATCTCTTATTTTAAATCTCTCCTACTTCATTATATATTTAAGAAAATTGCAATCAAAAACTGCCATTTATTTGCAATGCTATTTAAATGGCAAAATGTAATTCTAGTAAGACTCGAGTTTCCTCGAACGGATGTGTGAATAATTTTAGTAGGATGAAGAATACTTATTACAGAACGATGTCTTCTAGTTTATATTGATCCACAGGCTGTATTATATTGAAAAAACTAATTAAAGAATTTTAGCCAATGATGATGATAGATTCCTGTAAAATACGGTGTCGCCTGACATAAATGTCAAATCACAGAACAATTTTGTAAATTTGACTAGCAACAGCGGTGCCAGTAGTTTCCGTTTTTCAGATATTTTAGGACAATTTGCACTATTTTTAGGGCAGGTAATATGAAATAAGGTATTTCCAGTGTACCGGAATACTTTTAGAGCACTTTAATGAGTATTTTTAAAACCCTACTTTTATCTTTTCAAATTCCAGGGAAAAGAATTGAATTTAAAAAATTTTGAAAAGGATTTCTTACTTTACTTTCTTGTACGTTTGATTTTATGTCAAGTGTAATCAAACACGGAACATCTACTAGCGAGTTAAACTAATCTTATCCCATCTATTGTGGAAAAATTTTACCAAAAATAGTTCTATATTACCTCACGAATTATGAATTTGAGGGCGTGCTTTGGCGGCCTTAAGTACTAATATACAATTTTTCATTAAAAAAACTGCCCCAAAACAATTTAAATAACCCTAATAAAGCGGTGTGGAATTTTTTACAATAGTTTTTGTTGAAGGATCAGGACGATTCGGCCGGCCCTCGTACATCGTTCGTGCGACCCCCACCTGTTAGGTTTACCTTTTCGACGACCGACCCGGAATAATTTCCGATTCCTTTGTGACGACCGGAACTATTCGCAGAACGTTGTCTTGCAAACAAATAATTTATTCGAGTGCTACTGTCTAAACTGCTAAAACTCCATTGTTTATTCTATTAATGAAGTTATTTAACAAACTGCGCAAACTTTACGAGGCCGTGATGCCGAAATGGAGAAGACAAAGGGCGACAAATTTGCTACAATGACGCTGTATACAATTAAATAAATAATACGGGTAGCGCAGGTAAAATATTGTTGTTTTAGTGGGGTATAGAACATGCTCTGGTGAGAATATCGAATGTACAATCTTGCGGTGTTTGTTCGGATGATCGATCGCGTATGGGGAAAATATGTAACCTAGTTGTCGACGGACTTACGAATTCCGATTCTGTACTTTATAAAGAATGCATTCGCATAAGATAGAAAACTATCATACTTTCCCGAACATAAACATGGAAAATTTCCAAAAGTTCTATCGCAACGTATTTTTCAGTTATGGTCGCGAATAACAAATTTACTATCTCCTCAAAACTTTGTTTCTAACCGGTCTTGCATTTACAACGGTTAAGAAGAGAAGAATTTGTGTTAGTAGACTTTATTTTGTTTAGCGGCGGTTGGAAATTATATTTATTTTACGCCCGCTTCCGCCAACTTTTAATACGGCTCTTTCCACCGAGCGACATAAAATATAGTTATTAAACACTAGCCTCGCACGTAAACCCTCTTTAAAACCGCTCTGCGCGCTAAAGACAATGCAATTTTTCGAGCTCAATCAATCACTCGGCTGCATTTTTATAATATACTCACCGGAAACGATCATTTTGATGGCCAAACTCATCTTCGGCTCGGTGTTTACTTGACACTCGTACTGTCCGGTATCGCTAACCAGCGCCCCTCGGATGCGGAGCCCCCAGAAGTCCCCCGAGCTGTCCGTGTGCACGGATTCGAAGCGCCTATCGCTCGAAAACGTGTGCCTTCCGGACGTCAGGATGTGCAAATCCTTGCTCCTTATCCAAGAAACCTACAACAATACCGAACTATTCAACGCTTAATTGTTCGTACAATCAACCAGACAGGAAGTTTGATCGAAAACCACTAGAGGATATTCTTTTATTATCGCCTTAAAGTGCGATCGAAATGAAAATTTATTTTATAGTGTATATACAGCGTAAAATAGAACACCATCTTTGAATCAATATTCGAAGCAAATCCTGCGGTTTTTTTTTAATATAGAACGGATATTTCGGATTTGGGTTATGGAATTTCGATGTAGCGAAGGGATTTTTCGAAAATCGACCGGGTAATATTAGCAAACAGTTCATCTAAAGCAGCGTTGTATAAAATTCCTCTCTCTAAACCTCGTTTAATCCTCGAGTCAAGCAGCGACTGGTGCAAATTTCTAGTTGGAATTGGCTCTTACCACTTTGTTTCCCAAATTTTTCACCGCGCAAGGAAGAAGCAACGTTTGCCCGGCATTCGCGTGTATTTCTCTGGTTAGCGTGTCGTCGAAGGTCGGCGATAATAGGAAATTTGTACCGTTTTTGGACTCTTCCGGTGCTAAACTGTTCTCTGAAAAACAAAAAGAAAATTCGATTAATTTTGGAGAATTCCGAATTTAACATGGAGATTTTGCATCAACGGTATTATTTAGATTCCTTCAATACGCTGTATTTATATTTGTGTTTACCAAACTCTGCTGTTTTCCAGGAAATTATTGATACAGAACACACAATTTATCGTTTATTCTGTTTTTTTTTTTGTGAATATTACTTCTGTCTGAGCCGCTGGTTCAAAGAGTTTGCGATGTTGAAAGTAATAAATTTACGTATAAAGGAAACTTAAAGCTTTGAAATTTATCCGAGCATTGACAGCTCAACAATTATTTCGGGCGTCTCGGAAAGATTGGACTTTGATCATTTTCTTTGACGGTTATTACAATTAAATATAATTTACTCTCTACCAGAAAAATTATTAAGAAATAGAATGAAATACGCGTTGTTTTCGAAGGGATTTGAATTGTCTCGCTACTTTTTTCGCTCGAGTAATGAAGCACTAAGTGCTCGAAAGTATACTGTTCGAAGAAATGAAGTAATTCGGTTTATTTTACTTCCAGTTAGGATAATCTCGCTGATTAAAGCTACTTATCATAAAAGTGGCGTTCCTCCCAATTAGCTTCAACTCAAAAAAGCTTTCTAGCTGATATTTCAACGTCGGCGGATTAGGAATTAATTTCCTTAAAATTAATCTCACTAAGAAAATATATCATCTGTATTTTAATACTGCGTGTTTCGTCAAAAAGTACCAGACATTATCCGTTTGTTAACTCCTGTTGTCTAATATTCGCCTCATTTCTATTTCGAGGTCTAGGATATAAGCCGATTTTATCGCATAATGCGACTTCCTCCGAAGGACTTTAATCTTTTAATTGAGTTTGCAGGAGTTCATTCTGTCGAGGTAGCGAAAGGAGTTAAGGAGTTACGCTCGTTTATACTTATAGTTGTGTTTAGAACACTTTGTATACTATGCACTCGTCCACAAAAACTCTACACCTGGTGAAGAAAACTGTTCGTAAGATTAGCAGAAAATTATGATTATGATGAATTTGTAGGTAATAATTATTCTAATGGAATATAAAACAATTTGCGAATTCCACTGCGGTTAACTAATTAAATTTGTTACGAAAATGTCGAGAGAAACATATGAAATGAAGTGCATTCAAGTGGAAAATAAAAAGACTTTGTTTTATACGCCGACATAATTTCCATTTCGACTATATTAATTTTTAAGTACACCTCTGGAAGTTCCTGGCTTTCGTTCGCCCGAAATCTGGAATCTACATAAAGCATTAACATAAATACGAGGAATTTTATGTGAGGTATTACGCCGTGAAGTAAAATACCGCATGCTACTTTTACGCTCTTTTGATGTAACTTTTGTTCCTCGCTCGTAATATTTGAACACATTTTTATTAGCATTTTATATAGGTATCCAGGTGCATATATGAAATTCTCTCACATACCTACGGAGAATCGTATAAAAACGCTTGATATATTTCAGACATTTTAATTGGAACGTTCAGAATTTTGCTTAAAAATTTACTGCCTAAAATGGACTGAAATACACCGGACACAAAATGAACAAAACTTCATACAATGACTCAGCCCAGAACGAAATTTGATTAAAATTAACAACACGGGACGAATGGAATATGGTGTAAAAAACGGCAAACATTTTTCCAGGATATCCTTCAAGGATACACACCATTTCGGGGATTTTCGCTCGCATACGATTCTACACTTACTAGAATTGGTTATTTTGTTACATAGCTATAAAGTGTTCAGCTGGCCGAGGACGTTACGTGACATCAAGTGATGGCATTGTCTTTTTCCCGGCGCTCCATTGGCGAGTTACCAACTATTTTAATTGTGTCAGTACCGGCGTCGCGACGCTTCGTTCGAGTACCGGCCTCATTATCGCTCGATTTAATTATACACGCAGATATTATTTTAGGAAAGCTGCGGTTTTTTTTTTAATAAATTCGCGTTTATAATAGTTTGAGTTTTATGCCTATTTTGAACTCGCGTCTAGACAAATACCAAACCGTTTTTTGCTTTCATTTTCTCCTCGTAATATCGCCTAAATATAACAGACGCAAAGAGCTGTGTTGTTTATTTTTCTTTTATCCAGAAAGTGAGTAAAACCAAAAAAAAAACAGCAAAGCAAAGTCGCGCACAACAAAAAAGAAAGCGACTTTGTGGATACAAGCGCCGTGCTATTTAAAATTTACTACATGGAAAATATTTGATAAAGTACAATATTCATTTGAAATTCAAAGAGATATATGGGAACAATTTTACTATAGAAAAAGTAACATATTTGAAATAATAATTAGCCTTATAAGAGACCCAACCTTTAAAATGAAATAGAGTTTTTAACATAGGAGCAGCTCAATCCAGGTTGTCGGGAGAAATACCAAGAATACCTGGACACAAATCAGCCACTTCCAAGAAGATAAACTAATTAATCGGAAACGTTTTACAGCGCACGTGTAATATCTAAAATCCCTGTTTGTACGGGCGTTAACGAACCGAAACATTGGTTGTTTCTTACTGCTCCATTAAACGCCGAAATAAACTTTGAGAACAACTAATTATAGAAGTTTGCGCCGCAATAATAAACCGATATAGGTGTGTTTCACTCTTAAATTAACGACGTCTCCATTGTAGGGGGGCGATAATTAGAGTGAGACGGGACGATAGTCGTTAACTGGATATAGCATTTGCATTTACCGGGGGTCGGATACAGAAAAGCCATTCGGTTAAAATTTAAGTACTCCATTAACTATATTATCCAACGTTTTTAATGCAAGTATTTTTATCTTTCCTCGACTTTTAAGAACGTATTTCAAAATGAGAAAGTAATTGGTACAGAATTATAAACAGGTAGGTAGATGACATTAGAGTGTAAATGGATTGGCTAAATTCAGGTATATCAATTTTAGGTACTAATAAAACAATTAAACCTTGATTAACGCCTTAATTACTACAGGTGAAAGAATTGATAAATATTTATATGTTTTTAAATAAAGCGATGCGAGTTAATTTTATTAGTTTTCCTTGCATATTCGTGGAAAGAATCACGTTTTCCCGTTCGACGACAACTTGAAATATCACTATTTCAACAAATAACCGTACGTTTAGTGCTTTCGTCGACAACTTAATCTTTATTTTTACTTTTGTGGAGCGTGATTTAAATCCACTGAATTCGTTCGATATAACAAGAGCGGTATATTTAGAATCGATTTTTAGTAAATACACTTTGTTGTAATCCCGATTGTGACGAAACTGCTTTTCTCGATATGTCGAGTGCATTTTTCTCGGTAGTTTAATCGGGTGTTTCAGCTGTTTAAAATTGGATAAATACGTTTAATTTATTTTTTCGACATTTCCATTTTTATGACCTAATCAAAATGAGAAATAACCCAATCGTGCGGCATCCGCCGCGACATCAAAAAAAAGGCTCCGTTCGAATTGGATAATGTAATGATGCATGATGCCTAAATTCGGATCCAAAAATTGCTACTGCAATGAAACAAAAAAAAAAGATTATTTAGTTTAATATTATAAAATAACGTAATTAACGCGCCCTTAGTGTACACGACGAGATAATACCACTGTGTTTGCGCCCTGTTTGTTTCGGCTGGATTTTCTCGAGTATAACGGTAACACTCGAGGGAAAAACTAATTTAATGACGAAAACTTTTGACCAATTGTAACGTTTCCTTCCTCTTCGTGCGCCGCTTTTCCGCCTTTCCCGTCTCCTCGACTGTTGAAATGCGGTTTTTTTCCTATTAAGTTTCCCATCTGTCAACCCGACAAACTAATGATCCTAATTTCCAAAGCAAAGTATTCCCTTTTCCCATTACATTTTCATCAGTAATTGTATTTGCACTATAGCTATACCCTGAACACTGAACAAATAGGTGTATAAAAGTAGAGAGTAAACACTTTGCGTTGTAGAGATTCCCCCGTTTTACCAACTAATCAAATGTATTCTAAATTTATTCTTTCGTTTATAGGTGAATAGATTACTTGTAATGGAAACTGGGCTATTTATAATCGAGTTTAAGATGGTTAATATACATTTCCAGGATTGTTTTTGAAAGCTGTTATTCGTCAGGTCGATATCTCAATATTGATGGATATCTATTTCGGGGTGAGTGGAGGAAAGTAACGCGACAAACAATTCGAAATAGGTGATGGAGAGGTTAAAATAGAAACGCGATTAGCTGCTATTTATACGTACAAATGTAGTTTGGATCATTAAAATAGCGGGCATTGTTTCACACAGCTGTTCGGACATGTTATGCGCTTCCAATTATTTTATCGTTCCGGAAAAATCGACTAAAATAACGGCGAAATCTTCCCCGCTTCGACGAAATTGCGTTTTCCTTCTGCAATATCACTCAACTGCAATCATTCTTCCTGTATAATAAAGAATATATAAATGCAAATTTACAGTAGAACCCCATCGGAATAAGAAAACAATAGAAAAATGAAACACCATAAAACACACCCTGTATATACATACACACAATAGGTAATTTATAATCGTATTATTCCGGTTGATATCGTGCGTACACAGTAAATAATCCCAGTTTGATTTAAACCGCCCGAATCAGAAACCTGAGTAGTTTTTTATCCGTCCTCCTGTTTACCCAACAGTCATATCAGCCGAAGGAGGAACGATTACGACAAGCCGCATCGCCTTTAGGGATCATATATGTTTGAACGTTCGCGTCCTACCAGTATTTATTTGTATTTGTATACGCGCGGATTCGATCCAGGGATGCAGAGCGACCCGACGTCGAGGGAGAGGCTTTCTCCTCATCCCCGTACACCCTCTTCTATATACAAACGCAACACCTGTCCGGGTTGGTTACACAATAAAATGCGTTTGTTAGTCTTCGAAAGTAATAAAATTGGATATGTTTTGTTTGAGATGTGGAAGAAAATAAAAGCGAGAGGAAATGGAAATACTATATCGGAGCGTCGAAGCGATGGAATCGAATGTTGATTCTTTTATTTCCACGCTAACGATACGATGGGATACGCAGAGAAGCGTGTGCTGGAGCCGAACGGGCGAGATTGTTTCATATAATGCAGTTGATGTATAAGTACAAATTAATTGGAGGGAGTTTATTGGAAATTTTCAAGTTTAAAGATACATTTTGAAGAAGCTTAATGTTATAGAATAGTCCGCTTTAAAATATGACAATTAAAAGTTGCTTTAATGCTTAATAGTAACTAATAGCTGAATCCCAAAGAAATAGTAATAAGTAGGGAATGATTCCATTACAAATTGGATATAAAAATGTATATAAAAATTAGCAGAAAATCACTATAAAATAGAGAAATAAAAAATGATATATACAGACCTGAGAGACTGGGATAGGCGGCCATCAGTATAATCCACACTTGCAACAGTTTGAGCAAACTAAATGGCACTCGAGCAAGGGCGCTCATAATGAATAGCGATTGTCAAATGAGAGAAAAGCGTAAAAGTCTTATCGAAGCGACGGATTCCATGCCGAACACGGAACTATATTAGCGCACGTTTATTGCGGGAGGGTGGATGAGGGTTCGACTGCATTATGGAAAATTAAATGCCGCTCCATCGTCATCGAAACGCCGCGTCTAGATTGTAATATATTCACCAGGAGGGGTGGTTAATGGACAATTAAATAACAGCATGACTAAGGTGACCGGAATTGTCCACCCCTTTGTTTACCAACTACACTTTTCGCCCGATACCCAAGACGCTTAAATCACTCGTCCCGGACAAGAGAAAAAAACCACCATATTTTTTTATATCTCAACAAGTCGTGGAACAATCCAAACAAAAGCGTTGGATGGCGAACAAAAAAAAACCCGAACGGGAGATTACGGGAAGGTCCGACGACTTCCAAGAAACAAAAACCGCGCAATCTACAGGAATCCCTTAACAAAACCGAAAAATCCCCGTTGATAAATCACCTAAGCGTCCCGACGATGTTCCGGCCGGCTCTCGAGCAACAGCGAAAACTCGCAATCATTTTTTTTCCACCGCCGATACAAAGCAAACACTCCGGCGTTTGTAAAATACAATCCTTAATTGTCTCAACATCGCGTAATTTCCGATTTATCCCATGGATGCGGGTCGACCACGTGTCCTGTACCCGCGGGATTCGACCGAACTGGCACACAAATATCAACTAAATACAGACTAGTTTAAATTCATTGTATTTTTATTTTATTCCAGGCCATAGCCCCCCCTCTAAGTGCGCTCCGAATAGGTGCTTTTCTCAGATGCTGCACCGCCGAAACGAATAATTAATTTTATATTCATGAGAAAAAAGACAAAGGGTTCTCTAAAATATACACTGCTCGACACATGCGATTGGTCACAAACATAAACACATACTCCAATAAACCTCTAAAGTCAATCCCTTATTAAACCAAAACAAATTTAAATGTAAACTAGCGCACGTATACCCTCCCAAAAACCAATTTCTACTAAACTCCAAAATCGGAAATATCTAGAGCAGTGTATAAATTGGGACCGTTTAACAAAGCACGAGGGCGACATGGCGCAAAGGGGTATTTAAACGGGGGAAAGAGATAAAAATGTTGTGACAATGCGCTTTGATTGGTGGTCTAATTACCCTAGTTTGATATTCATAATATTTGCGCCGCAGGGGGAAGCACAGTCGATTCTCGTTGCGAAAATCGAACGGGGGTTGGAAACCGCCGGAGACGCCGAAGGGGGTTGATTGTTCGTCGTGTTCCATCGGGTGAAGACTGCGTTAATTTATTCGACGGCGAAAAGAATGTTCGGTTAATACAATGCAGTTACAGTTGGAAACATCCTGTAAGGGCGTGTATCTAAAGGAGGGATGGGAGAATAAAGGGTTGAATGAAGGTCGAATGGGTAATTTTAATTAATTGCGCCAGAAAGCGTGTTAAGTAGGTCAAATTTGATGTGGTTTGTACTTTATTGGAACTGTTGTAGGAAATCAAAGCGTTTCGGACTAAAATTTCTAATCATCTGAGAATGACCTGTTGGTAATTTAGGTGGATCATCTGGATGCCCGTTCATCCAGCATTCATATCATATCGCGAAATATTTATCTCGGCTTGGCTTTTTTTTCCAGCGCCCGGAACACACCGGGCTATATTATTTATTACTATGGAAATGAAAAAATCGGACGGAGATTGATGATTTTCCTTTTAGTTTCTTGGCTGGCAAGCCGGTCGGATTTTCAACGGGATTCAATCGGAAAGGTATTTAAATATTATTGAAATTTCGACTGATATTTCCGGAGGTTTTATCGAAATTTAATGGTTTTTTCATACGTATATTCCTCGAAGGGCGATGAAAGGTTGCTTTGTATGAAATTATTTATTAACTTATGATTAATTTTATCGGTCAATTCTATATTAATGTCTTCTAAATTTGTGTAGGTATAGAATATATATTTTTTTAGCTTGCCTTGAGCATATAGAATAGATCTTTAGGCAATAATTAATACCGTTCATTAGCATAATTCACATCGAGCAGGAGCCCGACCTATTTGGATGTTACAGCCAGCTGACAAAAGAATGAAAATGGAAACAAAAGCGAACATTTCTCCGTTGACTGGGGGGCTGAATTCGTTATTTTAATAACCTATTGTTTTAGATCTACATTAGAATTCAAGGGGAAATAAATTCACTGGCTTTTGTCGCGTCTTTTTCAAAATATCCCAACTAATTCCGTGTGTATTCACGCACAAACACCGGCTATTTTTTATACATATAAAGTGTCTCCTCCTGGCCGGTGATTAATCGATTTAATTAAATCGGCTACCAGTCTCGAATATCCGAAATTGTAGCTCTAATCATGTTGCGCCATTATCGCCTGCAACTCCTCTGGCACATTGGCATTGTTGTTTCCGGAGACCCTTCGATACAAAGCAAAGCTGCCAGATACTATACAGGAAGCAATCAATATCGGGCAAAAAGAGGCACCGAAAGACAGGTAGTCATAGGGATGTGAGGCGGAATAGGGATGGACAGTAAATGGCCGTGATCATTTTAAGGGTTGGGGATTATTATCTTTGGCTGGCGATGTTGACGGATGGAGCAGAGCCCGGGAGTAAATCTTATAATGGAAAATTCGGGGACGTCGATGTGGCGTGAAGACGATTGTTTTGATTTTAGAAACCATTCCTCTATGCGCTTCGAATAATAATCTTTTAATTAAAAACAGTAATTTTACCATTTTTATGTGAGAAAGTTTGCCGACTCACAGGACGATTAGCCACTCTCGAAACCTCCATTTCGAGGAAAACTCGCGTGTTAGATCCCAATAAATGATAAAAACCTGAGACATCTGGTTTATTTGGGGCATGAAAAAAATAATGATATTGCCCTCTGCTCCGAATTCGGGGATAGATGATTTATATTTTGATTGTTTAAAGTGAATTTTTATGGATTCTATGGAAACAATACTTTCTACTCGTGAAATGTGTATAAAAAATAATCGAATAAAGTCGGTATAATGTATTATTTTATAGAGAACAAATTTTTTATGATTAAAAATACCTACTTGAGAGCGAATTTGTTACGATTTTGTTAAGAAACCTTGGTTGAGTAGTCACATTTTTTTATAGCCATTAAATCTCGAAATATATTAATGTCATTAGAATACAATCGGTACACTTTTGTTAGGAGATTAGAGGACATTTAGGCCGCGAAAAATTCCCTACGTGCCGTGAATAAACCCCATTAAAGCGACCTATTATTAATTGACAATTTCTCCAGCGATATTAACAGACCCGAAAGTACTTTATCCAGCACTTTTGTTTTCAAATAAAATACGTACAGCCGTTTATTAACTTTAAAATTAGAATAACCATTTCCCGCTAAATTAGTACCGATAATATCTAATTTAAAAGCCCATTTTGAGCCGCCCCCGCGCCACCATCGAAACCCATAAATACAGAAAACCCTCATCAACGTGACTCAACGAACCGTTTACAACGCCCCGGCGCTCCTGGCACGAAAAATCATGTTCCGATGATGAATAGTTCGTAGGGATAAGAAACGACACACCACCTGGGGGGCTGTGGGCACCCAAGGAAGAGGACCCGACACCGCCTTCTTAAACACACCCTTCATAATGTACAGGGTGACTCTAAAATCTAGCTAAATGTACGCAGTAAGTAAAAGGTTTTGTTGATTAAATTGAGTAAATTAAGTTGAGTAAATTTTTGATCGATTATGGGGGATCGGGGGAAACTCAAGAAGAGGACCCGACACTGCCGGTCTTCTTATACACATCCTTTATAATATACAGGGTAAACAGAGTGACTCTAAAATGTGGCTAGTAAAGTATATAGTAAGTTAGTAAGATGACTATAGGGGTGAATTTTTGATCGATTGTGACATTTTGAATTAGTCTCGAAAGGGTCTGGGGACCCTCAACGAAGAAGACGCGACACACTCGACTTTCCTTTATACACACTTCAAAATATACAGGGTAATTCTCTCTAAAGTGTGAATAATTATAAGTAGCAACCATAAGGGTTTAATGATTGTTTTTGATCGATTGTGACAATTTGAATTAGTACTATCGGAGTATTGGAGTCAATTATAGTGATGTAATTAGATTTGCAAGAGGATTAATAAATTTCGGGCAATTTCGCTTATTTTAATTACACTTCTATTGGGTGTTAAAGTCCTCGGCGACCGCGAACTGGCCTTACAACAATACCGAACTGCTTAAACGCAACAATGACTGGAATTTAAATTAACTACGGTCGGGGGTATTTCGGCGTTTTCGGTATAATTTTCGCATAAATTCCGCCACTCAACGCCAGTTTTATATATTTTCGGCGAACGCGTGTATGCCGCACGGAGGGGATATAATAATTTGCGCGGATTATTGTTTTGTTGACATTAAAATTTCGTAATCTAGAGCGTACCGTGATGAATAAAATTACCCGGGAAGGGACCGGGAAAGCCATGGCGAACGTGTGAGGAAGCGATCGTTTCGCCGCAACGATCGCTAATTTATATTAATTAACGTTTACTGGGTTTTTAAGAGGTCGTTGGAAATAAAGCGTTTCCAATAAAGATCTCAATGTTACTATAAAAACGCGTGATGGGGTTTCGGAAGCAGGGAGAGAAACGCCGCAAATGTGGGACCTTTTAATGATTTCCTTCGTTGACATTGAGGAATCGTTTCGCCTTCTGTCGGTCGCGCTTCGACGAAACGAAATAATCGCCTGTTTAATTGAGTTAATTACGAATTTTTTCTCCCATCGCAGTTCGAATTTCGCGTCGGATTGAGTTATGAAAATTCGCCGGGGCTACAAGAAAATCTCAACGTATTGTGCAATGATGAATTGCCCGATGTTTGACAGTTCCATCGGGAAGCCGTTCAACCAATATTTAACTTTTCCCATTTCGCAAACACGCGTATACGCTATGCAGCGTCGACTGTTTATCGAACAGTTTGCCCAACAAAACGACTCGAAACGTGTACAATATATACCCGTTGTGTGTTTACCTCCAATTTTTCCGATATTAGTTCATTTTAGTGCTCATTTCCCATATCGAATTCGTCGATAAATGCGCATAATATTTCATATGTTACACACAATAACACTCTCGTTCCTTTTACATTAGAATTCGATAACGACACAACCTTTCTAACGAACCCAGTACTCAAACAACACTTTAACTTCATCGTATATTTCTTCGTATTTTTTGTATTTATTTCAAACGTTTGATAGAAGAATGCGAAAGTGAAAACAGTTCCTACGCCCTGCAATCCCGAGTGGTTGAAGGATTTCGTGTCTTTCAATGGGGGAATCTCCAGACAGTTGTCACCGTTATGCACTGATGAATAAACTCGTGCTCGAAACGAGACGTAGGTACTCGGAAACGAGGCGACAACACGTAAGAAATTTATATACCAAAAGAGGGATTTCACGCGCCACGCTCGACGGGCGAGAACTCGTTTTTAATATTCCCTTTCGTTAAATAAATACAAACGTTTTGCAAGTAATGAAGTTGTTGTCGTAGAAGAAATAGTGTGTGTTACTGTAGTGGATTCAAACGGGGCATTTTCACCTAAAGCAGATGATAAAACAAGCGTATATATTTCAATATGAATCTTATGAATGATGCATGTATAGGTTTCGAAAAGGCAATATCGCGAACCTTTTCTAACTGTCTGTATTTTTCCGGGAATATTAGGTATTTCTGATCCGCAGGAATTCTCTTTTTTGAATTACGTTTCTCCGAGTTATTCTCGATAACCCAATTTCACATTATATTTTTGTTATCCACGTCAAACATTTATTTTCTCATTAAATACTTTAAGCACTCCAATAGACAATAGGGGATGGAAAATTAATACACTGTCGAGTATATTTTATATTAAAATCCTAGAATATTGTTCGAGTATGTTCATTTTACATTCTGGATAGTAACTATCGCAGTTTCCTTCAGTTGTCCCCAATTGTTCAGCAGCATGGTAATCCATGTTTGTAGGATGGTGGAATTCCTCATCAGTTATTGACGGTCTAATATGCACAAATATTTAATAAGTACACTAGAATTTAATGAATAACTTACTTTAATACAGCCGTGACAATTTCCGATAAAATTCCAGCTTTGTGTTCAAACGGAGACTCTGCTACCTCACATATGATCTTCAATAGGCAAGACTTACCATCCCCGTTATTAAATCTTCAAACAAAATCTGTTATAAAATCCATTTAATATACGTTAGTAAATACTTTACCTAGCTAAAAGACTCTCTAGTACTTCGTAAAACATCCACCTCGAGGTGGCCCGCTTATTCCTTTGAATGTCTATACTAGGCGATAGATAGTCGCTAGCATTCGTAGGAAGTGTATAGAAAGCTTTGAATACATAACCCATCGTTATGGCGTTCTTTTCCACTTCCACAGGTAAACCCAAACCAAAAATAAACTAGAGTAAAGTAGATTAAAGTTTTCCATCTAAAGGAGTAATTAAATTACTTACTTGCACCCAACTGACTCCGTAGTCGCTCCATATCAAAGCGCGTTTTTTCCTGGTGGCGAAATACCTGCTGGTATCCAGTAAATCAGCGCAGAGGACGTTAAAGACTAGGAGACTTATCACGAAGCACCTCAAATTACCGTTCATATTTCAGCTACTAATACCAACTTGGCTCTATGCGAGTGTAACGAACTTAAATGTAATGCCATTCAATTAGGAAGTCGTCGAGAAAACGTGATCAAACAATGGGAAATGGGTTATTTCGTTTGCGAGCGAGGTGATGATAATTAATTCAATTTCATAAGTAGGCAAAGAGTGTGATTTAGAGTATCCATTATAAATTTATGTAGTATTTAGTAAAAAGTTTAATGAGTGGTGGGATTGCAATTTTTTGCTTCTGTTTTAGTTGAGTTTAGTCCATTATGAGAATCCCGGGATTACGAAAATAACACAAAACAGCGAGTTTAACTCAAAAATTTATTATAAAATCCTCTTTTACATTTTCATTAATAAGTAATAGTCGTAGTTTCGTCTATTTCATGCTGACACGCTATCATGTAATGATCACATCTGCTGAAAAAATTCCTGATAAACTGCGCTTCAGTACCATTCTCCCTAAAATAAACTCAAAACAATTAAAATAAATCAAATTATCTTCATGTTATCGAACCTCATTATAATTTTCCCTAAATCGCAGAAAAACCCGCAGGAGTCGCTGAATTGGAAATTCGAGAACGTCATGCATATGTGTTTCATGGCGCAGGAAAAGCCCTGGACAGCCAACCTGGAAAATCACCAATAATTCAGAAGTGGGATCATTTTTAGAAATGCTTTATTTACTCATCGGGCATGTTGCTGATTTCCTCGTGGATGTCCCGCTTGAAGAACAAGTACCTGCTCTTTGCGTCGTGCGGTAAATCGAAGTTTACTCTCACAGTGTAGCCGAAAGCTACTATTTGGTTATACGGAAGAGTGTTTAGTTTTCCGTTGAAACGATACTGAATAATAGTAAATCATTTATGCAGGAAACGGTAGTAAGGTGCACGTAAATACTTACAAAATATTTACTACTTTTAGTGAAAACGACCCTTCTTCTCACTCTGCTTCTGGATAAGTCTTTTTGGCAGGACGCCATCGATTCTAAACCTGCCAAAATGCTTATCAGCAAAACGATTTTGATAAAGCGCATTTTACTATCTATTTATCGCTACTTCTTTATTAAATGCTTCCCGAAAGATGGGAAATATCGAGTTGATCGGCATTCTGTAATATCGTTAATGCTCGTAACAATTTGAGTCAATAGAATAACTTCATTTACTGTTACTTTACCAGTCACAATGTTTATTTAACCGCAAGTTGTTTGTATATATTTTTTAACTCCACAGATCTGTATTGGTTAATTTTCTTCGTGTAGTTTATTAATACCTGATGAATTTAACTGATGCAGTTAACAATAAACTCATACAGTACACAGAAAATGTACATTTATTAGGAATTAATACGGTTCTGTTTAACTGGTACACAATTAACTTTCTGATTATTGTGTAATAAATTATACATTGCCGGATAGATCGAAGTAGATTTTCTTGTCGAATAAATTTTATTATCGAATAAAATGGCGCTTCTAATTCATCTAATACTCCTCGCCTATTTGAGTTGCAGTTTGGGCGCACCAGAAGTCACCGAACTGGTAGAAAGGGACGTTTTGCTGAGCCGAAGGAAAAGGTATTTGATTTTTCCGCCGGGCACGAATATGGCAGTGAGTAATTAAACTTTCTAATAGAATTAAACGCACAAACCGGCAACGATTGTAGATTTCAATGGCGGGAGTGAAGGCTCTAATCAGGCCGCAGCCGACGGGCATTAACGTGCTGGGCGAAATGGACTGTCCGTTCGCCTTGCCCACGGACACGAGGATATTCAGGAAGTCTTCTTACATCAAGAAGAACAGAAGGGAAATTTACGAGACCCTCGACAAAGCACTGACGGTGTAAGTTGGAAGCATTTACGTTTCACGAGATGTGTTATGGAAATAATTTGCGTTTCCAGGATTGGATTAAACGGTACAGCTTGCGTTAGGAAGATGATTTGCGATGCGAAGGAGTATGTCCCTATGAAAGGAAAATCGATGATAAGGGACATATTGTTGGTAGTTTTCAAGTAAGTTTTATACCCTGTAAAATACAATCGTTTTTAAATCATACTATTCCAGTTTTCCCGAAGATGAATTCCACAATGAAAAAATCAAGTGCACCGAAGAATTGAGCACCAGTTGCTCGATATCTCTGATGAAACACGTCCTTCAAGAAATTAATTCCGATTACTATTAAAAAATATAATTATTAACAAACATATTTGTTGACAAATAAAGCGTTACCGTTATGTTCAAAAAGCCAGTTTTCTCATTAGCGCTTTCGAAGCTCGATTATGTTTTATTTAAATTTGAAATTACACTCCATCACTCACCGGTAAACAATCGAACGGAATGATGGTAAATTATTTAACTCTCATCGCGCTGTTATCACTTACATGTGGCTGCATAACCGAAGATGTGACTGTGATAAAGAGGAATTTCCCGAGCAGGCGGAGGAGGTACTTAATTTTTCCCAGTGGAAGCGCCATAACGGTATAATAATTTATAATATCGCTTCGATTAAGTGTTATATAGCATATTTTTAGGCCAGATTAACGTCTGCTAAAGCCATACAGCAGGTGCAACCTACTACGTGGAATATGCTGACCGAGATGGAGGTTCCTTTTATGCTACCCAGCGATTTGAGCATATTCAGAAGGAAAAACCGGGTTGGTAGGGAACGGAGAGAAATATATGCCACATTAAAAACAGCATTAAAAACGTAAAATATACTTACAAATTACAGGGTGTTAATTAATTGAATACCATGCTTAATTTTAAGAAGAAAATAGGATCTTAGTTTTCCAGCTACAGGGTGTAACAGTTTTAGTATCGGCACTCAATTAATTAACACCCTGCATATCCAAAATATTAACTCGAATTTTATCTGCAGGTTGGGTTACGATGGAAACGCTTGTGTAAAAAAGATGGTATGCGAGGCGAGGCATCTCGAGCATACCAAAGGCATGTCTATGGTGAATGACATGATCCGAGCTATTTTTACGTAAGTTCGAAACCGATTAAAATGGCCGCGGGTGATTTTTCGAAACGATAAACGTTTTTCAGTTACAGCGAAATCGATTATAATTATGAAAGTTGCGAGGAGGACGCGCTAGCGGAATGTTCCATTTCCTTTTTGGCGCTGCTACTGAGAGAAGCCCAAGATCCAGTTAAATGAAATTTACGTGCTTCGCGTTGATCTATTTAATTATAAAAAATAAAATAAAACGGTATTGTTAGATCTAGTCGAAGTAGCAAGGAATATATTTACAGGAAAATATGAATCTTGTAATTGTACAAATGTTATAAACAGATTTCGTTCCAGAATTCCCGCTGCGATCTTATATGAACAAACAATAACGAAATTAACTTTTGAGCATACAAATATATACATTACTTAACTGCACAAAAATACAATTAACAACGTTAAAGTAGAAATAGCCAGAAAAATAAATTATCAGTTACAGATGTATATTTAGTTCCCTTCGAATATCGAAAAACTCTCCGGATTTATTACGAATTAAAATCGAAAAAATTACGCAGGTACGCCATTTTGCTCTCACGCAAATTAAGTAATTTACGTCGACAATTCCTCTCCTGCTATATTCGTACCGTTCACCACAGGACTTCCTTCTATGACGTTCGCCACAGGAGAGGAATTGTTCTTATTCCTCAACTCGAAAACTTGCTGTATGGCCTTCCGGAAACACAAGAAATTATAATCGATTATACCTAAAAAAAAATAATGGAATTAATTAATTAAAAATAAAGAATACTTTAAACTGTATATTACCTTTGCTTACAAAATTATCTTCGCGTAATATACACACCAAGGCAAGGAATTTATTGACTTCTCTCAAGTATAGAATGGTACCGTTATTTAACTTTATTAAGCTCGAACTTATTTCATCGAAGGCTGCGGAATCTTGTTCTTCCTTAATGCTAAAAAAATAAAAATTTACATAGCAATTCGTCGAAAAAACGGGAATTATTTACCCGTAAATCGAAGACAAATCTATCACTACATCGATCATATCACAACATAATTCGTAACTTTGCATATCTACGGGCGTCGAGTCAGTCGCGATGTAGATTTTAGACACTACATCGAAGAGGAATGATTTTTCTATAGCAGAATTCTATAAAAAAAATTACTAGAAATCGTTAAAGTACCTACGTATACAATAACTTACAGTGTTGAGGATATTAAGTAGGTTTTCCAAAGCGGGCAGTTGAGGTATCAACTTCTGCACGACCTTTGAGAACGCCTCGAAAATCGAGTGATCGTAGATCGATGTCAAGTGGAAACTTAGATGGATCTGATCGTAACCTAAATAAAAAAAACGCGTACAACTACTGCGCATCCTTATAAAAATATTCAACTCAACAATTTATACAATTTTTAATAATTTATACTAAGCAGTACACATGTGGTGACAATTGATAATGTCGCGTGCGTTAAAGTTGCGAGAAAATCTAATAGCAGGAATCGGCCATCCTCTACTCGACATCACCGTCAGAGTAGACAAACAATTTCTAATCGAGCACCAGTTGGAAGAAAACGGCGCGATTGTGATAGAAGCAAACCACGAAAAACTGTACCAAGACATTAAAAAATATCCGGTGGTTTATACAGCAGGAGGGAGCATTCAAAATGCGCTGAGAATCCTGCAATGGCTAGTGGAAATGCCGAGAGTTGCAACCTTTTTCGGTGCAGTTGGAAACGACGAATTCGGAAGAATGTTGTACGATGAAACAATTACAAACGGAGTGAATGTTAATTACCAATACGAAGAACATCATCGTACGGGTACTTGTATCGTTCTCATCACAGGGAAGAACAGAAGTTTGTGTACAAATCCAGCGAGTTCGCGGCTATTCAAAGCGGAATTCTTAAAGACACCAGAAAATAGAAACCTATTAGAATCAGCAGAATATTATTACATGTCGGGGTTCTTCCTAACAGTAAACCCAGAAGTAGTCTTAGAAATATCTCGATTAGCGGCAAACGGTAAACGTCAATTTATATTCAACATAGGCGCTCCGTTCATTTGCAGAAACTACAAAGACTTTCTACTTAAACTCGCACCTTTTATTGACGTAATATTTGGTAATAAAAACGAATTCGAAGCTTTAGATAGAGCTTTGCAATTCAACTCCAACGACATCGAAGAAACTGTTCTATCGCTCACGCGGTTCAAAAAAATTATACCCTCGAAACCTAGGATTGTAGTGGTAACTCAAGGTGAAAACCCAGTAATAGTGGGAAAAGAAAACATTATTTCAAAATATCAAATACCCAAATTAGATAACGAACAAAGTGTAGATACTAACGGAGCTGGTGATGCGTTTGTCGGGGGATTCCTATCGCAATACATACAAGAAAGTGACTTGGAAACCTGCGTTAAATTCGGAATTTTAGCATCGAATAAAATTATACAAAATATAGGATGTACGATTAATTACGAAACTTCGCTACGTGAAAGTAGTATAATTATTTAAATAATATACCAGTTTATCAATTTAAAAAAATATTATCTTCACGTAATAATTTAAAACAACGTCATCGTAATTGTAGACACAACCAAATTTAAATGACAATACAGTAACAACGTTGTCAGATGTTAAAAAAATACATCACTTTTTCTTTAATACTATCATATTAATCAATAAAAATTTGCTTTTAAACATTTTTCGTCGTATTATTTGAAATTTTTCATCAAATTAATATCAAAAACAATAAAAAATATTTTATTATTATAGCACGATTACGAAACGTTGAAGTTTGGCAAACGCGCTTCTCTTATCAGAAATTAGAAAGAACGAGGTTATGTTAATGTCAAAAAGTTAAAAACAATTTAAGTTTAAGAGAGTTACAAGGTCGTCGATATTTTTTGTTATTTCAGGTTTTGTTGCGAAAGGATCTCGACGAACAGAGATACGCTGCGTCAATTATATAAAAGTATTAGGAAAAACCGTGATGAGATAACATAACCTCATAAAGTTTATACAGAAAAAACGTGTTAGGTACTTTTAGAAAATTTCAACGAATTTATCATCTCGAACTCGAATCTCGATTTAATCGAAATGGACGGCGATAGTTTAAAGGAAAACCTACTCATCGGCATGGGAAATCCTCTCCTGGACATCTCCGCCATCGTAGACAAATCGTTTTTGGATAAATACGAATTGCAAGAGAACGATGCCATTTTGGCCGATGAAAAGCACAAGAACTTATTCAAGGAACTCACCGAAAACCACCGAGTTAGCTACACGGCCGGCGGTAGCGTACAAAACACATTACGAGTAGCCCAATGGCTGCTCAAGAAACCCAACGTAACGACATTCTTCGGTTGCGTAGGCAAAGATGATTATTCGAAAATACTGTACGATAACGCCGTAAAGGCCGGAGTCAACGTTCGATATCAATACAACACATCTATACCTACAGGTAATTAATTAACGCATCATAAAATAATTATCCTTAATTAACGAATGGTTAATTTCAGGTACTTGTGCTGTATTGATAACAGGCCACAACAGATCGCTCGTAACCACTTTAGACAGTGCTAATTGTTTTACGATTGAACATCTACACGATTCGATAAATCGGAAACTAATGGACACTGCTCGATTTTACTACGTATCCGGGTTTTTCTTGACTGTTAATCCGGAAGCTCAAATGGAAATGGCGAAAGTGGCTTCCGAAAAGAACCGACCATTTATGATGAATTTAAGCGCGCCTTTTATTTGTCAGTTCTTCAGCCAAGCGTTACAAAACGCAATGCCTTACATAGATATACTGTTCGGGAACGAATCCGAAGCGGAAGCATTCTCTACCAGCCTAAACTTAGGCACTAAGAACCTAGAAGAAATCGCTCTAAAACTATCCGATTTACCGAAAGAGAATTTGAATAGAAAACGAATTATCATCATAACTCAAGGCGTCGATCCCATTATCGTAGCGAGCGATGGGAAAATCACCAAGTTTCCCGTGCAAACGATCGAGCAGGAGAAAATCGTCGATACGAACGGAGCAGGCGATGCATTCGCAGGAGGATTTTTATCTCAATACATCATCGGGAAGAATTTAGATGTTTGCATTGAGTGCGGAATATGGGCGGCAACGGAAATCATACAAAGAAGTGGATGCACATTCGAAGGCGACCCGACGTTTTCTAATTAAGCAATCAAAATATTTTCTTTTTAATTATTCGATACACTAAAATAAGCAATAACTATGTAATATAGAGCACTGTGATTATATTCGTTTTTACTCTTATCCTTGTACGAGTAATTTTATGAATAAAAGTGAGGATTACCTGAATCAGTTAAATCATCTGCAGCCCTCTGGTGAATGTCTCTTTGGGATTCCATTTTGAAATCGTCCCCTAATCCATCGACTTTATGTATAAACACTTCGAATCTAATGTTTTGATTGATTTTGTACGCTTTCGTTACAGTGAGATTTAATTTGTTCAAAGCTTCGATATAATCATCCTAAAACAAGCACTTATAGTAAAATACAAATTCATTTTAAATATATATCCTACCTGAGCATCTATTACAAAAATTAAAGCACCGCATCCGCCGAAGATCGTGTCGTAATCGAAACTCGAATCAAAGAAATCGATCTGGCCAGGGAAATCCCATATTTGGAATTGTACGAAACTTGAGTTATTAATATCGTCTTTTACGATTTTATTTGTACTGCCTAGGAATAGAGTTTCGTTCGGTGACATTTTATGGAAAACTACTTTCTGAATGGAGGATTTTCCAGACCTTCTGAGGCCCATTAAAAGGATCCTAGGTTTTTGATCTCCTGAAGATGAGATTATGTCATGATCGCCATCGTAAGGCCCGTAGCCAAAATTCTTAGGGAAAGATCCAGTTGTACCATCGAATGGCACACCCTCTTCATCGTCTTGATATGACTAGATTAATGAAATAAATAAAATGTAATTAAATATTCACCATGTTTCTTGTAGTGCAAATGGTTACATACCATTGTGGTAACTATAGTGATGGCTGTACACTCCAAATGTCCTTAATTTTATTATTATTAGTTAGATAACAATATACAATAATAAACTTTAAACACTAAACCAAAAAAATCATTTGAAAAATAATATTTGACGTTTCCATTTTGACAATCATAGACGTTGACAGTTGACATTAACATCGATTAGGAATCGAAATAATTCCGAATTTTAAATAACATATTATAATGTTTTAACATGAAAAATTATTATGATGATAATAAGAATATATCACAAATGTGATTTACATAAATTAGGTATGTATAAAGTTAATTAAAATAAATAATTTTCTTATAATCGAATTATCGATTTATTTGTAACAGAACCTCAAATTTAAAATTTGATACTCAATGCTACCAACACAAAATAAATAAAACTAGTTAAGGCTTATTCGCACAATAGAAGTGAAGTTAGGTATTTATATTAAACTAGCTATTTCATTGGTGGAAAAATCAGTAATGCGTCATTTTACACATAACGAATGTGTAGCCTAACTTTAAATTCCTTCTAACATCTTACTGGAGGGGATGTAAAAATACCACAATAATGAGAATGCTTATCAAAAGCTTAAAAGTTTTACTACATTATTATCAAATTGTCGATTGCACTCGAAATTGAGCTGGCTTCAATAGTTATGCAGTGAATCACGGTAATGTGAAAATGAAAAAATGCCTTACAACATTGTCATTTTATGTGAAGTTGATTCATGGTTATGTTCAAGTTATAAATATTTAAGGTTCAAATTGATGCATAGTGCATATGCAATTGATAGACATGACATTTGAACCCGAATTATTAACATGATATTTACATAAAGTATATCGCGAGCTATACTTGTTTATACATTGGATTTTATACGTGTTTATTGCACATAACAAACCTGAAAGCAGTCGAAACGATGTTCACCAACATAGACGAACGGATATTCAGACAATCAAAATTGGCCGTAGCAAGGAACCTTTTCGATGTGGAAATACCGCACAGGCTCGGCAATTGCGATCGCTTCATCCCTACGAGAGCCAACAACAACTGGGAAACGAGCTTCGCTACGATACCGGACCCCAACAAGAACGCCCAGAGCGGCAAGAAGGCGAGAGAAACGGGCGAAAACGCCAGAGACAGTTCGGTTTACAATATATTATTGAGAAACGAGATACTCGGCGAGAACATTGAAGACGTGAAATCGCAGTGTGACGAAAGACAAGCTTTAACCCCTGTCAAAAGCAGGAATTTATTTAAATATGGTACACCCAAAAAGGTGAGTGATTTATTTATTTATTTAAATAGTTGGTTTTATTTGAATATTTAACACTTAGCACTCTTTAAAGGGTTTTCACACGGTTCGATATATTAAACGATATATTGCACTGTGTGAAAACGCTTTAAGGGTGGTTTCGAAGTACTTAGAAAGTATTTTCGTTTTATTATGACTTGGAAAATTTCTTTGGGAAATGCTTGTTTGAAATGATATAAATAAATATGCAAAACTCCCTTAATTAATGCTTTATTTTTAATTCCGTGCGAGTATAATTATGGCTATAATAATATGTATTTTTAGGCACGAATGACTCCTTAAACTGATTATCTAGAATTCTTTAATAAATTTGAATAATAAAAATTATGATTCAAATTAGTCGTTGCCCAATGTAGTGTTGTTTTTTTTTTTGTTAAACTTGCAAATTCTGAAATTTGCTCAATTTCGCCAAGGTTTATTTGCTTAATATTTGTATAAAAATATGCATTTCCTATTATATTTTTTTAATGCTAATTAACTCGACTAATTAATAAGATTTACAATTATAAATTTGTAACGTATAAACTCTACAAATTCTTTATGAACATTTCAATTACATATTAACAAAACCCTAAATGAATTTGAAAAGAAATCCACTTAAAAACGAAATAGTCAACCCATTAACCTATTAGTAGGTCATTATGTGATAACAAAGTCTATGAATTTTGATAATCTAATGAACTTTTATAATATTTACTTTACAGCAACGTTCCTCGTTGTTTGTAATTATTATTCAATGACGAAAAGGGACTGTTAAATTGAGGCTAACCCACATTTACCTGAACAAGGCAAAATGGATTATTTTAACTGTACTTGCTGTGTTAGCTCTGCTAATAAATAATTATCGTTAATTAGCGGAATTTTTCATGAGGTGCCGGGACAATAGTAATAGTAATAGATTCACCGGCTTTCCAAAAACGACTTCTTTATCGTTTCCAACGGTATTTTCGCAAGCATATTGTAAATAAATTTGTATACGAAAAATAGAAAATTACTATTTATAAAATGTGCTTAGTACATGCGTTTTGTTTAATCAAAAGTAAGGAATTTTCCTATGGGAATCAAGCTAGCACCCCCACCTCGACTAAATTGAAAAAAAAGTAGCCTATAATTAAGAGCTAATTAAAGGCTAATTTGTACCACAAAAATTAAAATTTGTACCACCGCGATATATCGAGAAAAACGGCATTGAAAATGGGGGGTGCTAGCTTGAGTTCAAGGCAGCACCCCCACTTTGTCCGAATTTAAAATCAAATGGATCAAAATATAGGGGATATTAAAGGCTAATTTGTACCACAAAAAGTTTTTCTATATTTTCATTATTAACGTCAAAAAATTAAATAGAAAGCTATGATTGTCGCTGCTCCATAATCTTAGCACCCCCACTTTCGTCAAATCAAAAAGTGAATATACAACATTATGTAACTAATTAAAGGCAAATTTGTACCACTTAAGAAATTTTTATAATTTTCAATGTAAAGCCGCAAATTAAGTTTAAAACAATTCCTTGAAGAGACATGTGTGTGACGTATGAATGTAAAAAATAATGCAATTGTAAAAGTGAATATACAACATTATGCAACTAATTAAAGGCAAATTTGTACCACTTAAGAAATTTTGATAATTTTCAATGTAAAGCCGCAAATTAAGTTTAAAACAATTCCTTGAAGAGACGTGTGTGACGTATGAATGTAAAAAATAATGTAATTGTAAAAGTGAATATGCAACATTTTACAACTAATTAAAGGTAAATTTGTACCACATAAGATATTTTTATAATTTTCAATGTAAAGCCGTAAATTAAGTTTAAAAAGATTTCTTGCAGAGACATGTGTATGACTTATGAATGGTAAAAATAATGTAATTGTAAAAATGAATATGCAACATTTTACAACTAATTAAAGACAAATTTGTACCACATTATATTGAAGAAATTTTATGTCCTTGACAAAACATTTTCTGTTTGGGTTGTCCCACCAACTATTCTGCAACAACGACTTGATAGTTTCTACCCACTATAAAAACGTGCCGGTCTTAAAACGTTACTTTTACCCCATATTGTATTATATTTATAAAACTGAAAAAGTATTATTTTAAAATAATCGAAGTATATTATGTTCATATTTTTTTTGTTTAATTTGTGTTTTCCATTTAGGATTCATACTTATTTTTTTTTTGTTAAAATAAATTAAATATACCTACAATTTCAGAATTTTTACTAACCCGGCTCCTTTAATAAATCACCCTTGTCGTCATTACATTAATATGTCACACACAAATAATACCCTCTTCAAGCTATCGTTTTAAACTTAATTTGCGCCTTTACATTAAAAATGATAAAAATTTCTTATGTGGTACAAATTTACCTTAAATTAGTTGTAAAATGTTGTATATTCACTTTTACAATTACATTATTTTTTACATTCATACGTCACACATATGGCTCTTCAAGGAATTGTTTTAAACTTAATTTGCGGATTTACATTAAAAATTATCAAAATTTCTTAAGTGGTACAAATTTGCCTTTAATTAGTTGTAAAATGTTGTATATTCACTTTTACAATTACATTATTTTTTACATTCATACGTCACACACGTCTCTTCAAGGAATTGTTTTAAACTTAATTTGCGGCTTTACATTGAAAATTATAAAAAATTCTTATGTGGTACAAATTTGCCTTTAATTAGTTGCATAATGTTGTATATTCACTTTTACAATTGCATTATTTTTTACATTCATACGTCACACACATGTCTCTTCAAGGAATTGTTTTAAACTTAATTTGCGGCTTTACTTTAAAAATTATCAAAATTTCTTAAGTGGTACAAATTGGCCTTTAATTAGTTGTAAAATGTTGTATATTCACTTTTACAATTACATTATTTTTTACATTCATACGTCACACATATGGCTCTTCAAGGAATTGTTTTAAACTTAATTTGCGGCTTTACTTTAGAAATTATCAAAATTTCTTAAGTGGTACAAATTTGCCTTTAATTAGTTGCATAATGTTGTATATTCACTTTTACAATTGCATTATTTTTTACATTCATACGTCACACACATGTCTCTTCAAGGAATTGTTTTAAACTTAATTTGCGGCTTTACATTGAAAATTATAAAAATTTCTTAAGTGGTACAAATTTGCCTTTAATTAGTTACATAATGTTGTATATTCACTTTTTGATTTGACGAAAGTGGGGGTGCTAAGATTATGGAGCAGCGACAATCATAGCTTTCTATTTAATTTTTTGACGTTAATAATGAAAGTATAGAAAAACTTTTTGTGGTACAAATTAGCCTTTAATATCCCCTATATTTTGATCCATTTGATTTTAAATTCGGACAAAGTGGGGGTGCTGCCTTGAACTCAAGCTAGCACCCCCCATTTTCAATGCCGTTTTTCTCGATATATCGCGGTGGTACAAATTTTAATTTTTGTGGTACAAATTAGCCTTTAATTAGCTCTTAATTATAGGCTACTTTTTTTTCAATTTAGTCGAGGTGGGGGTGCTAGCTTGATTCACATAATTTTCCTTGCTTATCAACTTCAATATTTGCATTATTTGCAATATTACTTATCTACTTTTCTTGCTGATTTATGAATGTATTTGATTTTGGAATCATTCTTCTTGGATAGCAATAAGTAAGAAAATTACTCAAAAAACGCGTTCAAATAGAACAATTTTCGAAATAACTAACATGCAATCATCGCTACCGATAAAGAGATTAAATATTTATCGTTGATGTAAAGCTTTTTTTTATTTTGAACAAAAAAAAGTGTTTTAAGTACACGGCAAACAAGCCACGTTTAGCGATAAAATTGATACCGAGGTTGCGAAATTTATTTACAATTCACCTGATACCAGGTGGATTACCGGAAATTAACGCGCTTTTCTCACGCCGGTTTCATTCAAATCGAGTTTTTTTTCTGTCTGTACGAAAAAAACGATCAGCTGAGTATTTATTTGATCCTCGAATCCCGTTGGAAAATGTGGATTTTTTATAGTTCATTCGAATCATCAAATCGATGTGTCGCAATTATTGTAAAATGATACCACAATAGGTATTTTCAAAGTGCTAGTTCAACAAGTTTCTTGGAAAATAACCAAACGGCAGTACCATAATAAAATAATAGAAGTAACAAAAATCCCTAATTGGCTCTTTTGTGAGGTCCGTTGAACTTGATAAGCGGAAAAGGTGGCTTATTTGTTGAAATATTAAACGTTTTCTTTCGTTTGACAATCGACGTGTTTGATATACCGCACGAAAATTGTAGGATTTTGCACGAAGCTATAATGTATTTTTCTACCGATAGTTCTAATCAAATTTGGGTCGCTATTACGCTGGAGTTGTAATAATTTTCAAATGTATTCAACCTAGTTGTACCAGACTCTAATCATGTGTGTGCGCGCGTATAATTGTTTTAATGTTTTGTTTATTTATGCGGTTTACGAATTGTTTTTAGGTCGAACGCCGATCGATCTAAATTCACGTAGTAAAAACATTCTATATTTAAACTCGTGGCGGTTTCACCCTGTATATAAATAAATCGCTGTTATTAAACCGAGTAATTTTTCCTTTATCAGCTTATTTCGATACGTATTTGTGTTAGGTAAAATTTTATCGATGCATTCCGCAAATAGAATGTTTTAATACAGGTTTCTTGTAATTTCGTTACAAAGTTTGTTTAGTTATCGAAATTTTATTATCTCTGTATTTAAAACGGACTAGAAGGCGTCTATGAGAATAATTATGTGTGTCTCTTCGAGAGGATAATAACTGATAACAGGGAATTATCTCGTGATTTTTATTTCTAACAATGTTATACACTCTTTTTTGGGTTCCTCAATCATGCCAGATTTAATATTAATGTAGTACAAGTTAAAAGAAAGTGCAACAAAATAAATGCACCCACAGGTGAAATCATATCAGGCCATTACCCGAACTCAATTTATCGCGACATTTCCGTTTCTTGTTCGGTTTTTTCATGCCCCTCGTAATTTCTTTATCATCCTTTCGTTGGTAACAAAGTATTTTTGCATAAAGTTACCAAAAAGGGCGACTCGACCTCCAGTCTGCATTTAAAATTAATAAATTCACGTGTATTATGACGATTACATCAAAAGGAAACGACCAGATATACGAGTATTCGATACATAAATGGGGAACGTTCGCTTATCAAAATGTATACGGGGTAATTGGAAAGGAAGCGGCATTAATCACACCTGGAAATTAATTTAATCGAGTATATTGAACTAGCATAGTCTCCAACGTTGTTTGAATTATTAATACAAATTTTAAGATGTTATAATTTGTTTCCTATTGAAGCTACAGGATCGTTTTTTATTCGAGGATATTCATGTTAAAAAAATATCATTCCTATTCCACCGGAAACGAAAATAATCATCGCGACGTTACTTTAACTGCCCATTATTAAAATAGATTTGAGGAAGTAGAGGAAATGCCTTACTCGACCGACGTTTAACGGTATTCATTATACAGGGTGAATCGTTTATTTTTGTTCGCAGATGGAAAAAACACCGACGAAGGCGTATTCTAGTCCCTATTCCCTATCGCCTCTCAGCACCAGCAGCCAGAAATTGCTTCGATCTCCGCACAAAGCCACCCGCAAAATATCCCGGATACCGTTCAAAGTCCTGGACGCGCCCGAACTTCAGGACGATTTCTACCTGAATTTGGTCGATTGGTCCGTGCAGAATGTCCTCAGCGTCGGTCTCGGCAGCTGCGTTTATCTGTGGTCGGCTTGCACCAGCCAGGTAATTGATACTATCTTATTTTTAGTAACTATTTTTTAGATAACTAGGTACTAGTAATTATCTATACAGCTTCACAAAAGTTAAGGAAGTTCACAAATATTGAGATTAATTTAAAAGTTGCAGGTTTTTTGTTCGCCGAAGTTAGTATGAATTGTAGAGGTAAGGGCAAAAAATACACTTAGATATGAGAGAAAACATTTAATTTCGCATATTTGAAAATTTGGTGATCAAAAAGTCTGTAACTTTTAAAATAATCGCAAAATTTGCGAACTTCCTTAACTTTTGTGAAGCAGTTTATTTACTCATACTTAACTAAACTGTTCCACAAAAGTTGAGGAAGTTTGCAAATTACAAAAGTTACAGATATTTTGATCACCAAATTTTCAAATATTCGTGAATTCAAATCATACCTGAGTGGATTTTTTGTCCCTACCTCTACAACTCATACTAAATTTGGCGTTCAAAAAACCTGCAACTTTTAAATTAATCACAATATATTGTAAACTTCCTTAATTTTTGTGAAGCAGTGTATTTTACTCATTCAAGCTCTACAACTCATCAGTAAGCTCAACATTCTCCACAACTCATTATAGTCTTTGATTCTGCATTTAAATAGTGCAATTTCCAGGTCAATTCTTCTACTATTCACACCTATTCTGGTTCCAGATACTACTTATCCACTGCTATCATTCATGAAAGCTCTACAACTCAATATAGCCTTTGATTATGCCTTTAAATAGTACAATTTCCAGCCTTATTCTACTACTGCTCATTCTTATTATTTTGCATGAAAGGTCTACAATTCATTATTGCCTTTCACTTTACGTCTTAATACTGCAATTTCCAGTTCAATTCTTCTACTATTCACACCCATTCTGGTTCCAGACACTACTTATCTACTGCTCATTCACGAAAGCTCTACAACTCATTACAGCCTTTGACTTTACGTCTAAATAGTGTAATTTCCAGCTCATTATTCTCCTGTTCACTCCTATTCCGGTTGTGCCTGCTTGCAGCAACTTCACCTTCTCATCTACCTCTACCTAACGAATCTTTGCTATTCAAGGTAACGCGATTATGCGACCTGTCGAACGACAGCAACGTGGTGACGTCGGTGGCGTGGAGCGAAAGAGGCCACTTGGTCGCCGTGGGCACCCATTTGGGCTACGTGACCGTATGGGACGTGGCCGTTAACAAGCAAGTGAACAAACTGACGGGGCACACGGCGCGCGTGGGAGCATTGGCTTGGAACGGGGACGTTTTGAGCTCCGGCAGCCGGGACAGATTGATCCTGCAAAGGGACACGAGGACGCCGCGTAAGTTTGTTTTTATATCAATCGTTTGTAAACAAATCCGATAACCTAATTATGCAATTAAACGTGTTTGCGAAACGTGTGCAGGAAATTCCAATAAGGTTTCGATTGAATTCTTGCAGCGAACGTAACCGAACGTCGATTGGTGGGACATCGGCAGGAAGTGTGCGGATTGAAATGGTCGCCGGACAATCAATATCTCGCGTCGGGCGGCAACGATAATCGATTGTACGTGTGGAACATGCAATCGATATCGCCCGTGCAAACCTACACCGATCATTTGGCGGCCGTGAAGGCCATCGCTTGGTCGCCGCACCATCACGGATTGCTCGCCTCCGGCGGCGGAACGGCCGATAGATGCATCAGATTTTGGAATACGCTCACCGGGCAACCCATGCAATGCGTCGATACAGGTACTACATTACAGCTTATTAAAAAAAAACGATGTTAATAGGAACATTCTCGCAGGTTCGCAGGTGTGTAATCTGGCTTGGTCGAAGCACAGCTCGGAGTTGGTGTCGACGCACGGTTACTCGCAGAATCAGATACTCGTGTGGAAGTATCCGAGTTTGATACAGGTGGCTAAGTTGACGGGGCACTCGTACAGGGTGTTGTATTTGGCGCTGTCGCCGGACGGCGAGGCGATCGTGACGGGCGCCGGGGACGAGACGCTGCGGTTTTGGAACGTGTTCAGCAAGGCGCGATCGCAGAAGGAGACCAGATCGGTGCTGAGTTTGTATACGGGTATCCGTTGAGAGGGCGGGTGTTTGGTTTTTGTATGCGAGAAGAAATTTGATTATTTATGAATATATTTAATTTTTTTTTGGTTTCACTTCTGTGAAGTTGGATTTATTCGGCGTTCTTTTATGATGAGGCTATATACGTGTTTTTTTTTTGAATACATTATATATTTGTGGATAAAATTATATTCGATTCATTACTTATATGCGTATACAATTTATATTAAATGTGATAAGGTATTATGACGATTTTTTTTCATTGTAGATGAATATTTGTTTAGTTTTTCAACTCGAGAACTACAATGCATTTATTTCACTTCAATCAAACCGAGTAAAAGAAATGATTATTTTTGTTTATTACTTAAAATATTGTGTTCATTTAATTTTACGTATGTAAGAAATATATTTCGATTTGTGAGGTTGAAAACCTTTGAGTCACTACGATTTAGTAGAATTTGTTTCGAGTAAATTTATATTTATATATTTTCCTACGTTGTGTATATAATTATTAAGAAAGTAGGACTTGCAATACGAGGATTGAAATAATGTATTAAATGTGTACAAAATACATTTCTTTTTTTTTATTCAAACACCTAAAAAGGGGCTGAAATGAGACGCCTGCTGCAAGTGAATACAAATGATTATTTACAAATAAATTAATATAAATCACAATACATTTTTCAGCGTAAAAATTATGATACAGCACAGCCATAAAAAATATAAATTTATGATATTAATTTATCCAAAGCTTTGTCCTTATCGTTATCACACTCCATTAGAGCCTTTGAAATATCTTTTTCGGAAAATCCTAAATCTAACAAATCTGTTAACGCCAACAAATGGTCTACAACCTAAAAATAATAAAAAAAATCAATTTCCACAGGTATTATAATAATCTAATAATAATTTTGCAGGAAAAGTTAGATAAACGACTAAACCTAGGTTTACACGGGCAAAGTAAGGTGGCTTTCTCGTGGCAAAACGGGAGTTTTTTTGCATTTTACCCGGGTAAACCTAGGTTCAGTCGTTTATCTAGCTTCCTTAACAATTTACAAACCTTTTTCTGATCGTCTCCAACGAGTTGGCAAGTCCTAGCTACCCTATTGAGAGGGAATCCCATAGAACTTATAGACCTACAAAATTCCTGTTCGCTTTTCGTCAATACAGAAAACGGATTGCCCAATTCCTCGGGTTTGATCTTCGGCCTGGGATACACGGAATTGCAGACCTTGGGAACAGGATCCGTGCTTTTAGGTCGATTAGACTGCACGGATTTGTCTACTTTGAAATAGGACTCCTGCGGCGTGGACGTGCTGATGTGTGTATTTTCAATTTCGTCTTCCAACGCTTTCACGATGTCCGGAACGCTTTTGCAATTCGGTTTTTTGATGTCTACAGGTCCCGTGGAAAACTGGTTGTAGAAATTCACGTCGGTGGGTTTCCCCGATGAGTACATGTATTGCGCTTGGAACGGACTCGTTTCGTAGTAATAGCCATTAGTTCTGGAGTATTCGGTAGTGACGGGTGGCTGTACGTAATTCGATGGTTGATTTGGAATGTTGTATGAATACTGACTGCTCATGTAGTTCGAATAACTCGGCTGAATAGCCGAGTTGCTAACACTAGGATAATTCGGATACATTTGAGTATTTACTTTATAATTACTCTTGTCTTTATTGAGGACTTGAGCTAATTCTTCCATATCGTTTATGGATTTGAGTTCCATGTTGTCGAAGGGACTTGATGTATCGTTTTCAAAGTCTTTGATATTAAAAGGGCTTTTATCGTTTTGAATGTTGTTTGCTGGTTTATTGGGATAAGTGTGTAATTGCATGGATGCTTGGGGCATTTGGGTGGGGACAAGAATGTTGCTGATGGAGTAATTGCCGTAATTTTGATTTGAATTTGTTCCAAATATTTGACTACACGATGGAGTCATATCAGCCTCATTGACAGTCTTAAGCTCTACTTCTTCTACTTGTTCCTGTTCTAGTCTATCCTGTTTCATTTTATTGATGTCTTCCCTTACTTTTGTTATCCTGTCTTTTCTGTTTTCGAAGGCTCCTTGCCTTATAGATCTCCATTCCTTCATTTTATTGAGAACGGTTTTCTCTAGAGAAAATTCGTAATTTGGTATATTGTCTTCAATTTGTTTATTCAAAGTAAGTCTCTGTGCATAGGTTACTGCTACGTTGATGCGAGGAGGAGGCTTATATTTCTCGGAAATTTTCACTTTAATGTTATCTGTATAACAATCATTGTTCGGCTTAGACATGATAAAGGTATTCTAAAAGTAAATAATCGAATAAATCTCAAAAACCATTAATTAGCCACATATGTATTACTCATTTCAACTCACCTCAATTTAACCAATTAAAAAAAATCCCAACTACAAACTTATGTCATTTCACACCAAAAATTAGAAGAATAATTTGGTAACGGTAATTGAAATCCGTAAAATTTATGAACTGCAACAATTAATTGGTGTTGAATTTTTCTTTAAACCAAAATCTACATGCATAACGTCACATTTGACAGTGACAATATTAATTTGACGTAAACTGTCCTTGGCTTTAAACCCAAGACAGCCACTATTTGACATTACTGACATTGACATACACTCAACGATACAATCATACAAAATAAGAAGAAGAAATTAACCTTGGCCTTGTATCGTTTTGGATTGTTTCTGATGCGAAGAAAAACGTTTCCATCGCGATAAAAAAACACAAAATCCACTCAAACTTTCAATCGTGCAATGGCCGATCCGCGAATTCGCACGATAAAAATCAAAACGGGCGTTGTAAGACGATTAGCCAAGGAAAAAGTGGTATACGAACGGGAAGCCGAAGCACAAAGGGTTCGCATAGAGAAGTTCAAAGCCCAAGGAAAGGACGAGTACGAGCTGAGAAAGCAGGAAGAAGTTCTCAACGAGAGTCTTATGATGGTACCCGACTGTCAACGTCGCTTAGCTGTCGCCTATGAAGATTTAAAGGGTATTTTGGACACAGAAAAGGACCTGGTGGAGTTGGATGACTACATAGCAGCTCAGAAGATACTCGATGAAGCTAAAATCCAATTACCCAAGTCCGGGGAATTGCACATGTGCTAATTAATTAAACCTTTATAAACTACGCATACTAACATTTATATTTACAAGACTATTATTATTATACAGACTATTAACTACTATTATTGGTGAATTATTGTTCGAAGATGAATTTCCTAAAGTATCAAAATTTTTCTAACCGTAACGTTAACATAGAAGTGCCAGTTTTGATGGACCCGAGGACTAATGTGTTGCAGAGTATATACAATCAAACCAACGATGAGATTTGGATTGATTCGTGGCTGCAACAGAACAATGTGTATCATCCTATACCCAAGATTAAAGTGAACAAAGGTTAGTGTATTTATTTGTTTACGAGGATAGGGTGAAAAGTTCTCGTCCTGAAACTGTTCAGAACAATCTAGAACGCTTAAGAATCATTTAAAACTGTCTAGAACCATTCAAAACGCTCCAGAATCGTTTAGAACTGTCTATATCTAAAAATTTTCACGTTCTTTCGTTGTCAGGCCGAGAACTTTTCACCTTACCCTTCTATTATCTACATTTATTATTAAAATGCCTGGTTTTCAATTGATTTTTAAGCAGGCGGTAGTATTGTACCCATTAATGAAGCCCAATCGTCCCTCAAAGAATGCCTCATGTTGCTGGATAAACTCACGAAGACCCACCAAGAGCTGGAAAGCAACGTGGAAATAATTTCCTCGAACGATTGGAAAGAAAAAACCGTGGAAATCGGCCAAATCAAAGACCAATTTACCAAAATCATGTCGAAATTCGAAAACGGCGACGCGATTTTCGCTCTCAAGAAAACCATCGATAAAAGAAAGAAGAAGCGATCGAACCAGAAGAAAAACAAGGAGTTTAAAAAGAGAATTGAAGAGGAGAAGATCCAAATTCGGGAAAAGCTACACAAGAGCATCGACCAATGGTTGACGAAGAAGAAAGAAGATGATGAAAAACTCAAAATGGTATGTATAATATTACAAGGGTAAGGTGAAAGCTCTCTCTGGAGCGTTTTAGATGACAAGTTAGCGTTCTAAATGGTTCTAAAACAGTTCTAAATGATTCTGGAGCGTTCTAAATTACTATAGAGCGTTCTAAATTATTCCGGATCGTTCTAGATTGTTCTAGACAGTTCTAAATGATTCAGACTGAGAACTTTTCACACTACCCACAAAATAGATTCGTTTACACTCTATTTGCAGGAAGAAGATATGCAAAAAGACGCCGATTGTGTACTAGCTGAAGTAACGAAGAAAAAATCTGATGCCAGAAAACAAATGGCTCTAATCGGTTCTTTAGCTAAACTACGCTTTATCAGACATCACATGGCCGTACAAAGGGGAGAAAAACCTTCTTTGGAAGACCAAAACGCTTTCAACATAACAGTTGGTGCGTATTATTTTTCTTAAATGCATCATGAATCATCATTGTTTTATTTTTTGTAGTTAAATTGAAGGATATGTGGGAATCCTCGCTGAAGACTTACATCACCGAAGAGCAAGGATTGAAACTGATGTTGGAAAAAAACGCCACAGAAGATTCGAGAACGGCGGAATTGGCTAAAGAAAGAAAATTATTGGAAGATTGGCATACGGTTTTCTTCGGTCCTAGACAGATTATCTCACAAGATAACGCTATTTATTGGGCTCTAACTGCAGCTGAAAGAGACATGGAGACTTTCATTGCCATAAGGTTGGTAGAAGAAAGTGATGAAATTTGTATTGTAATATATTTGATATATTTTTTTTTTAGGAAAAGCTGGGATACGTTTCTGGTGTCTCCTGCGAATGAAATGGGATCGAAAATACCAGTAGGCTGGGTTTTGCCGAGTGCCAACGAAAGCTGGGCTAATTATTTATCTAGTGGTTAATAATTACGATCAGTTTCACAAATTTGGTGTAAATAATTATGTTTTCTATTACTCTAAATTTTTTGTGAAATTGATCTCTACATTTTTTTAATATTTAGCTTGTTTTATACTGTTAAAGACTAGTTCTAATCATTTGCTATTATTTTTTTATTTACTTAATATTAACAAGAAATTTTCTATAGCTTCTCTTGCATTTTTTTTATTTGATTACATGTATAATATCTATGTTTTTGAAATAAATGAATCCAGAATATTTTAAATATACTATCAAGTGTTACGCATAAGTTAGTTTTAAAATATGCAAACAGATGTCGCTTAAAACACTGCAAAAATCTGTGTTAAATAATGTCTGGTATTAAATAATAAGCAAAATAATTGAGATTAAATTAATAAATATGAAAGGGTAAGTTTGTATTTGTATTCTTTACTCCTCTGACATTTTTTTGCAATCTAAAACTGTCAATGTCAAAAGTCAAATTACCAACGCCATTCGTTTTCCATCACCATGACAACCCGCCTAATTTAATTCCCATTTCTCAAAAAAAAAATTCTTACACATCAATTTAAACACCTACTTTGCCATTTAAACTTATATTTATAAAAAAACTATTCAAAATTTAACCAATTTACGGCCATTCTATTATTTTAAATGCCACAATATTTATCCAATAGGAATTCGAAGTAATGGAACTAAGATCAAGATGGCGTGCTCGTAGTTTTACGTAATGCTCTCGTCTCTTTCTAACTCGTTATTTACCCATGCCTCCCACTCTATCTAAACATCGTTAGAGCCGCCATTGTGTAAATATCGAATGCGAGTTGAGTTGATGAGTCGCTTTTGTCGCGCCTAATTTACAGAATTTTCCGAATTTCCCAGTTTGAGCTAGTGAATTAACTTCAGCATGTTCTTTAACAGTTAAATTTATCGACTGTTGGCTTAAAAGGGAGAATAACTGTCTAAAAAACTGCCCTAATGTTGCGGATGAGAAGGTAACCTCTTCTGTTACTCGGAGAAATCTCTGTGGTAAGTTGATTGTATTTCGCCTATTTATTCGTTTGTTTTTTATTTGATTGTGTTGTAGAATAGAGTATGCTTTCGTAAATGCTATTACTTCTAATGTCTTGTTAAATGAGTAAGGTAAGTTGGTGTTTTTTGAGTATTTGTTGATGTGTTTTGTAACCAACTTTCTCACAGTGTTTAATAAGATTTGCTTATAAATAGTAAAGTAACAATTTATTGTAATTTGTGCCTTTATTTATTTATCTTTTGTAGGTAATTTCTTCTATAGCTTAGTTAGTTTAGTTCAATGGTTCATTTAATACCTTATTCAGTGTAGGCTAACATTTTATATTTTGTTTATATATTCATTTGTTTTATTCACAATCAAGCTAGTATATTTTTAAATTTGTTAATGGACTTGTTCTGTGTAGTTATTTGGTTAGCGTATTTCCTTTACTGATTAATTAAAAAAATGTGTAGTTCTATATCAAAATTGATAGGAATATTTAATTTAAAATAACGAATTGTGTATTTTTAGTAAAACGATGAGTAAACGAAGAAGGCCTTGTTCGTTGCCTGTTTATGCAGAGGAAGACTCACTTGATGGTGATGAGGCCTCTACCAGCGGTGGACCACCGGCCAATAAACGAAGGAAACTCTTTGACCCAGTAAGATTTGTATTAAAATTTTTCCTGTATACTCGCATGTTAGTTGTTAAACAATTTCATTACTCTTGATTTTGTAAAATAATTATGAAAATCTAATGATATCTGTAAAAAATTGATAAAACATCTCATTACAAATTCGCGTACAACGTACTTTTATTTGCAGATCGAAATATGCCAGCAACTCGTCGAACTTCTGCGTAACCGTAAAAAACCCGATGGTACATTATTAAGCGAATCTTTCATTCGAATACCGAAACGTAGACAGGAACCAGCCTACTACGATGTCGTCTCGAATCCCATTGATCTCATTAAGGTGCAGCAGAAGCTCAAGATGGACGAGTACGAAGACGTCGAGGACCTCCAAGCCGACGTCGAGCTGATGGTGGATAACGCAAAGGCCTTTTACAAGAGGAACACCCAGGAATACAAGGATGCCGTAGAGTTGTTGGAGTTGTTTTATTCGAATAAAAATAGGTTTGTAGATTCGAAAACTCGCACCAATCTAGCTAATCGTGTGTTGGGTATTACAGGCTCCTGCAGGAACCCGCAACGAAGAAACCAATCCCTAACAACAAGCGACGATCGAATAACAACAACAATAACGGAACGAAAACCCCTTCACCGAGACCTCCGGATCGTCGCCCGCTTAGAAACAAACCCAAAACACCCTACACACCGAACAACACCACCAGGAGAAGAAAGCTAGTCGAACGCACCCCCAGCTCCTCTTCGGCGAGTTCTTCAGAAGAAGAAGAAGAAGAAGAAGAAGAAGAAGAAAACGAAGAGTCCAGCGAACGAGACACTGATGGAGAAAGCGCCAGCGATGAAGAAGACGATTCCTGTCCGTTCGAAGAACTCATGGAGGCCGTCATGGAAGCCAGAGACGAGCACAGGAAGTTACTCCATCCACCGTTCCAGCTGTTACCCTCCAGAAAGAAGTATCCGGATTACTACGAGGTGGTGGAGCAGCCGGTAGATTTGAAAATGGTCACCAACAAGATCACGAGAGGACGGTACAAGTTTCTGTTCGAACTCGAAAAGGATCTGTTGCTGATGTGCAAGAACGCCTGCTTGTACAACGAGCCCGGCTCGCAGATCTACAAGCAAGCCAAAGCTTTGCGGAAGGTGGGTTTAAGAGTTACGAGAAGTACCGTTGGTTTAAGCGAAAGTTTTTCGATTTCAGTTTGTGCAAGCGAAGCGCGTCGAAATCGACACCAGACGGGGCACGTTGCCCATCATGGCGACCCCGAATTCGCGCAACAACACCAACAAAACCGCCGGCTCGAACCGGACGAGCCTCAATTCGAGCCGCACCGGCTCGAACTCGCGCTCGTTCAAATCGAGCCGATCGCCGAGCGTGACGCGCAGCGCCAGCGTCACGCCCGTGTCGCTCGCCGCCGGCCGCAATTCGCTCAATTCGCGCCACAATTCGAGCCTCAATCGCGGCGCCGGCGTGCGCGTGTACAGGAACAACAACAGGAGCAGCGCGACGCCGTCGCCGGCGCCGTCGCCGCTGCGCGAGCGCGACGGGTTCAATTTGCGGAACAAGAGGACGCCGCGCAGCTTCAAGGATCAGGATTCCGATTTCGAGTTGGATCAGGACGAGGTGGGTTTGTTTTCGGTGAATCGAAATCGTGGGTTGTAACTTGAGCGTTTTGTAGTTTTACGATCCTTCGGATCCGCATTGGAGGTTGTTCGAGACGGTTCGCTCGGCTACGGGGTACAACGGAACGATGATGTCCGAGCCGTTTCGAAGGCTGCCCTCCAGGAAATCCTATCCGGACTATTACAAGGAGATCAAGAATCCGATTTGCCTGGATCAGATCCGGCGGAAGCTAGTCAAGAAGGGTTACGGTAATTTGAGCGAATTGGCTGGAGATTTGACGATCATGTTCGAAAATGCCAAGAAGTACAACGTGCCTACCTCTAAATTATACAAGGTTTCGATATTTTCGACTCGTTTCGTACTGTTGTTAACGGTGTTTTCGGTATTTTAGGACGCCGTGAAGCTTCAGAAACTGATGCAAACCAAAGTTGAAGAGCTGCTCGACGTCGATCAGGTAACACAAAGAGTTACTAACAAAAACCGAAAGGTATGCTTATAGGAACACATCAAGTTTCATTATTAACAAACAGTTTACTTGCATTTCTTTTGTATCTAACGTTTCGACCGGTTACTTACAAACATGTATGTAAATTGCTTACTAAAAGGCTTTCGAACGTTGAAATAGTACTTGTCGCGATTAACTCGCTTTGGAAAGGCTAATTTGCATTCGATTGCCCGAAATATTTATATTTTCATTCGCTTTCTTTTGTAGTTGTTTACGGAAAAAGAGCTCATTCGCCGGAAACCTGGTCCTAAACCTAAATACACATCGCCAATGCCCAGAGGTCGACCTCCCAAGGATCCTGCATTAGTGAAGAAGAGATTACACATGCTAGCTAAATACATGTTGGATTATACAGTAAATAGCCTACACAAATTACGATCGATTCGATATATAAAAATTTCGCATTTTCCAGACGGAAGACGGCCGAAAACCCATGCTCGCCTTCATCGAAAAACCCTCCAGGAAGCTGTACCCGGCCTACTACGACGTCATCGCCGAGCCCATCGACTTCCTGGAGATCGAGCGAAAGATCAAGAGCGAACAATACGCGAACGTGGGCGAGTTGGTCGACGATTTTCGATTGATGTTCGCCAATTGCAGGCAATTCAACGAGGAAAACTCGCCCATATACGAGGACGCCAATCTCCTCGAACGGTACCTACTCGACGAGGTCGAAACCTGGAAAAGGGGCAACTCGAGCGGGAGGACTGCCGACAGACAGAGGAGGGAGCGCGTCGTGCTCAAACCGTACTTATACTCTCACTCAAACCTCCGATGTAGCTCGTTACATTCATAATATTTTCAGGTACAAACCGCGTAGGATCATTTCGCCGCTCGAAAAATCGCTCAAACAGCTCTACGAATCGATACGGTACTACCGCCATCCGACCGACGATCGCCTGCTCTCTCCGGCCTTCATGAAGCTACCCTCGAAGCTGGATTATCCGGACTACTACGAGGTCATACCGAATCCCATCGATTTGGATCGAATCGATCGCAAAAACAAAGCCGGCGAATACCAATCGATCGACGATATGGCCACCGATTTGGCCCTCTTGCTCGACAACGCCTGCAGGTACAACGAGCCCGGCTCGCAGCTCTACAAAGACGCCCTGACGCTGCGCAGGCAGCTGTTCAACACCAAAATGCAGCTGCAGCTGAAAGAAGACGAGAACGCTGTACCCGACGTGGCCTTCATCGTACAGGACGTGCTGTTGACGTTATTCGCTAACGTTTACGGTTACCAAGACGAGAGAGGGCGCTGCTGCTCGGATTCCATGGCCGACTTACCGGAACACGATATCATAGAAGGCGTTAGGTACTATATCATTTTTACATGACGCGTTGCACTTATAATATAACGAAATTGTTTGTGTTTTAGGACGAGAGCGCTGTCTCTCGATCTCATCAAACGTCGCCTGGACAAGGGCCTGTACAAGCGTCTCGACGCCTTCCAGGAGGACTTCTTCGCCTGCATGGAACGAGCTCGACGTCTCTCGCGTACCGATTCTCAAGTATTCCAAGACGCCGTGGAATTGCAGCTCTATTTCATCAAACAGCGAGACGAGCTGTGCAACAACGGCGATCTCTTATCATCGCCGGCTCTAATCTACACGGAAATCGACGCTAAGGCTTCGATAGACGATATCAGAGCCGAGAAGGCCATGAAAGAATCTTTATCGTTAATAGACGAAGAAGAGCCGGACACTCCGTCGAGATCGTCTTCGGAGAATTCTATACTAATTGGGCAAAAAGACGAGGAAAGTAACACGAATCCCATCAGTACAAACAAGGACGACGAGAACTCCGTAGAGAGTTCGATTGTTTCAATGGAATCAGTTCGAAACGAAGAAAGTAATACTAGTAAAAAAGGTAGTGAAGATAACAATACAAAGCAAGCGGAAAGTAAAGTTGAGAACAATGCGAATAATACGAAAGAATGCGAAAGTAAAAATAAGGAGGAGAATGCAAATGATGATAAAGAATGCGAAAAGAGCGTAGATATAAAAGAGACTGAAGAAAATAGTTCGACGAATAAAATTAATAGTGTAGAGGAGCCAGAAAAAAGTAAAAATCAAGAGTGCAACGGCTCCAACTCAAGTGAATCTAGTGTATTATTAGCTACTAACAAAGACGATGCCCTAGTGAATAAAGACAGTAAATCACCACCGCCCGGAGGTGTTGTTAGCGAACCTAGTGAACTTCCTAGTGAACAATCATCGAATAACAGTGATCAAGTCGATTATAGGATAGGTGATTTCGTCTACGTGAATTCGTCCGAAACCAAAGAAGGTGACGCGGGACTGGAAGGGGTGAAAGAAGAAGAGAAAGAATGGGGGATCGTGTGTATAGAAAGGTTGTGGACGAGCGGAGGGACTAAAATGATGTACGGGAATAGATATTTCAGGCCCGACGAGACCTATCACTTGTCAACTAGGAGGTTTTTGGAGAAGGAGGTGTTCAAATCGGACAAGCATGCTTCGTTGGGGTTGGACGAAATAGTGGGAAAGTGTTGCGTTGTGCATGTTAAGCAGTATTTTACAATGAAACCAGAGGGTAAGCAGAATATATAAAATCTACTACCGATGCTGTATTATTATTAGATAGAAAATCATCTATTTTATTCTGTTTGTATTATAGGTTACGATGAGAAAGACGTGTATGTTTGTGAGTCCAGATATCGCACGAGGTCGCGAACGTTTAAGAAAATTAAAATCTATCCAGAAAATCCGACGATTAAATTGGTGCCCAGGGAAGTGCCATTGTCTGCGAAACGAGTGATATCTGTGTTTCGGGAACGAGTAGAAAAACACAAGGATGAGCTGCAGGAATTGGAAGACCTGGAGAAGATGGTAGAAAAAGAAAAGCCTGTAAGTGGGTTCTACAATTTGAGCGTACTCAATAGTCTATATTTATAAAAATGAAGCATTTACTTAGAAGCAATAGATAAGAAAAGAAGGTTTTAAAACCATAAAACCTTTTGCTTTAAAGTAACAGCAGGGTCCTCGAAGCGAAATCTTTCTTCCTTCACTTCTTTTTATGCATATACCTGGAAGCAATTCCTTCATTTTTTGAAGCAAAAGGTTATGCTTCTTTTTATACATTTGGCCTAATGTTCAGGCAAATTTCTATGGTAATTTACATTCATACTGTTTTATTTTTAGAATGTAATGGCCTACAACAACATGGACATCGACGATGGTAATACATATTACGAACAATTCAATACTGTATGCTCTGGTGTAATCAAAACCGGTGATTACGTTTACGTCGTTGCCGATGGTGGTAAACAAGTCGTAGCGCAAATAGACAGTATTTGGGAAACTAAGGAGTAAGCTTTATCAATTAGCTCATTATGAGCTCAAAGTTGCGAGTGTGGTTATTTAAAATAATGATTATTTCAGTGGGAAATGTTACTTTCGAGGACCTTGGTTCATTTCGCCTTCAGAAGTTCCCCACAACCCCAACCGGATGTTCTACAAGAACGAGATATTTCTATCGAGTCTAGAAGATGTCAGCCCTATCGTCAGTATTATTGGAAGGTGTCACGTTTTGGAGTTGAACGACTGGGTCATATGTGAGTTTCGTTAACTATACAATAAAGGTTTTTTTCTGTAGCTTTTATTTGAATTTGGGTGTTGAATTTTTTTCCAGATCGTCCCACCGAGATTCCGGAATGCGACGTTTTCATCTGCACGTCCGCCTACGATGAAATCAACAGGCAGTTGAAAAGGTTGCCAGCAGGAGGCCTAAAGAAGTACACTCACAGCCCGCTGGTCACCGAAGATGAGATTTACTTCTTCAAAAGGGCGCTTATCCCGCCAAAGGTAAGCTTTGTAAGTGTTTCGAATTATTTTTTGGTCCTATTATTTAGTACAAATGCGATAACAACAACTTTTATTACTTGAAAATTGATTAATATTATGTATTAAGAATGAACAAGGTTCAAAAATTAATGAACTAAATACACAAACGGCAAGTATTTCACCTTTTTCTAACCTGGAATTCTAAAGAAGGTAAAAATATGAAGTAAAGTGAGTATAAAATAACAAATCGTCCTCAAAAATCCAAATTTCCCTGTAATTTGACTAAAAGGTCGAAAAAAATGTAGCCATAAATTCAAATTTCCCGCTCACCATTTGTAATTCGAATTTGCCGCCACGCAATCGGAAGCGACAACTGACATTTAACCTCACCTTCTGTCAACAATGTCAAGCGAGCTGTCACAAAACAGAAGCTCTGCTGACAGTGCAGATACAAAAATGGTGACAAATTCACCGTTTTAAACCAGTTTTAACAACAAAAATATTGTTAAATCCATCTTAAATCGCCCGATTTCTTTATAGTTAATTGAAATAATGCAATAGTGTCATGTTGAGTCGGTTTTATTAGTGTTGTTAAGTGTTTTTTTGATAATAATTATAATCTAGAATCATGGAAACTGCGATGGATTGTTCTCCTTTTCCGATAAACGTAACTATCAATTTTAGTTGATTATTATAAATTTAAATAAAAAAATACTCGTTACTTTTGCCTTAGTTCTGACTGAATAATGTTTGAGATGATTGTGTGATTAATTGTGCATATTTAAAAATAGATTTTTTTGTATTATTCTAGGTAAATTCTATTATTAAAATGAGTATACAGTGAGCTGGTGGAATTTTAAAAGATTTTTATTGTGTACAAGGCGTTGCCTTCTAATTATTTTTACGCTTTTCGTTCGTTAATTTATTGATAAAATTCGTTAATTAGTCGAATAATTAACGATTCAATTACGTGTATTCATGGGCGAGTGCTAAAAAGAACTCGTATTTTTTGGTTAAAAATCCTCGTGATTTTTTTTGTACAATTTCGTATTAAAACGCTTTACTGTTACTGGTAGATATTTATTTTTAGAATTTGTTTGCACTGATTATCTGATAGTATGCACAAGTTAGTGTGGGACTTTTATTTCCTCAGATTTTAGATAATTTTTCATATTTTTTTGGAACACTTTAATGGATGAACATAATTGGTATGCTTATTAACCTACGTGGAATGCTCTTTGTTACGTTTGAATCATAAAATTGTACAGGGTGTATCATAACTTTACCATTAAACTTCATTCTAAAGCAGTACGTTTAAATGAAACGCCCTGTATAAAAAAAAAGGCAAAAGCGACAGACCGCAATTGTTAATACATTCGCAAATATAGGAGATAAAAATCGAACCGACGCAAATAAAAATCGAGCCGGTGCAAATCCGAATCGATCACCACCACCATTCCCCGGTGAAAATCGAACCGTGCTCCCCGCAACTCTCCAAGATGAGCGACATGGACGTCACCATGGACGATTCCCTCGACGGGGGACCGCCTTCCGTGGGCTCCGGGGACATTCCGGTGGCGGTCACGCCGGCCACGCCGGCCGCCGCCTCCGCCACTCCCGTCTCCACTTCGAAGAAGGTACTAAAATCGCCAATTATCCTCCGTTAATCTAAAATTAACTAATAGAAGTTGTTGTTACGTATATTTCGTTTATAATCGAGTATAATACAATTTGATTGGCGTTTAATTTCATAGCAGAAATCGAACAAAAACAAAGTGGTGACGGGTTACATCCTGTATTCGAGAGAGGTGCGCAAGCAAGTGGTCCAGAACAATCCGGAATCGACGTTCGGAGACATCAGTCGCATAGTGGGCAGCGAATGGAAATCGTTGCCGCAAACCGAGAAGCAACACTGGGAGGAAAAGGCATCGAAATTGAACGAGGAAACGAAGGCTTTGCTGCTGCTGGAGCAGGAGCAATGCGGCAGTCCCGCGCCCGCTCCACCGCCGCCCGATCAAGTAAGTACCTTTCGAGGTAATTTCTACGAATGCTCTAATTAACGATTCGATAGATATTCGAGTGTCTTTGGGACAACTGCGACTACCAGTTCGAAGAGGCTTCGGATCTGATCGATCACTGCATCAAGGACAAGGATACGCACGGGCACGTGCAGGCCTTTTACCAAGAGAACGCCGGCGCGGATTTTAACTGTCACTGGCGCAACTGCAACAGGGTGAAGAAGAACCTGCAGCCCTTTCCGAGCATCACCAGGTTGATCAGGCACGTGAGGGATATGCACATTAATAAAGGCAACGGACGCAGCGTCGCCCCTGAAAATAGGAGCAAGTAAGTTCGGTTTGTTATTATTATTAATGCGTTTTAAGATAACTTTTACTATCTCCGGGTCGAAATTTACATCTCCCGATAGCCGAATTTATCTGTAGGATAACTCTTTTTCTTGGTGTTTGTTTTGTTGCGTAAAGACAAACATCACAATATAGGGATAACGAAGAAAAGTAAATTCGTGTAATATAGGGAGAAAGGAGTTTGATTATGATGTGGTAAACGCGGTAAACGAAATAAATACATGAAGGAATAATATTGATTGAATTTAGGAATTTTGTTGGAAACCGGGTGATGCCCGTTTTGCATCCTGCCGTCTCATCAGCAGCCGAAATGATAGCTGGTCAGTTTATAAAAACAAATTACAAAAATTTTGAATGGGTGTGTTCAAAATTAGGCATGATTTGCATACTTTTATTTTTTTTATAGAATTTTAGATTTATGTGAAAATACTGGACAAATTTGATCGAAAAGCGGTAATAAATTTTGCATGGTTTTCTGGTATTTTCGCCTTAAAATTATACAAGGTGTTATTTAATGCAATGAACTTATTTTAATAGGTGATTCTTGAGCTAATTTTGAGTCGAAAAGTTCATATAAAGATATTTATACCATATGTTATCCTAGAATTCAATAATGTAATATCGGAAACGATTTTTTAAATTTTTAAAATAAAAATACAACTCTATAGATATATCGAAAACCGAGCTTTGAAGGACATACCTTTATATAAACTTTTCCACTCAACATTAGCACAAGAATCACTCGTTAGAATAAGTACATTGCATTAATTAACACCCTGTGTATTAAAAATGTCCCGTTAGTATGAAATAAGTAGTGTTTGTTTTGCGTTGCAAATGTGAGTTTGATGTTGTATTAGGAACTTCAAGCCCTCCAGTAAGCCTCCGCCCGCTCGACCGACTTCTTCTACTTCCTCCTCTGCTACTCCCAATGCTAGTGAGTTTTTGGTTTATTTTTTTTTATTTTTTATACTTTTTAACCCCTGTAGTAAGAAACTTTTTTTCTTTAATAAGGAGGAGCGTTCAATTACATTTTATTGTAATTGAACGTTCCTTTTTTAATTGTTTATTGTAAAAGTAGATGCGTTTGATATGGAGCATTTAACGTAGCCTGTACGTATTTATTTTTGTGGTAAATTAGTTTTGTTTAGATCGAAAAGCACTCGGTAATTTGTTTGTAGAACAAGCACTAAATTGCACGTGTATTATTTGCGATTTGTGGTAGTTTTTGATTGAATTTTTTGATTCCGATTCGAAATCGTATTTAACAAAACGTTTTTCTTTGACACACAAAAAAACCAGCCGCAACTAGTACGTTCAACACGAGCAATGGGATTGTTTCTTCGAATTTGACAGGTAATAATAAAATGTTATAAATGTTTATAAATATTGCAAAGGGGTAGTGAAACTCTAGCTTCAAATGTCTCGTTATTATTTATATTAAGAGTACATAGTTTCATTTTATAAGATCTGAAAGGATGTAAATTGGGCTGAAACGATTAGAGATTTGAATCCTGTAGGTAAACCGGACGCAGTATCCCAGAAAATAATTTTTTGTTTTAATTCTGTTCTACTCTGTTCTACTCTCTTTACCCTACACTCTATTCTCTATCCTGCACTTTCTACCCTAAAATCTCAAAATAAATAAATTATCGCGCCCAATTTATAACCATTGAACCACCACGTATACAGGTTGTCTCATTAAAAGATAAAATTAAGATGCTGCTTTTAAAATTACCTGTTTTGCCTTAAAAACTAGCGTCGTTTGAGTCTGATGATGATCGTATATATCGAAACTAGTCTCTTTGTCGATGGAGTTTTCCATCACTACTCTTGGTTTAATAAAGTTTATAAACTTGAAAACGAAAAAAGTTTCTTATCCTGTTTTTTACACAATTTATCTCTTAAATATGTACCTAACTAGTAGAGAATAATAATTTATATGATTTTTTTTGTGAAGTTTCTTCGACCAACGTGCTATCGCCTAACGGTCAGAAACCCCAGGAGCCGATGTTCGTATCAGTACCTCCACGTCCTCAACGGGTACTCCATTCTGAAGCGTACATAAAGTAAGTTTAATAATTTGACTCTATCAATAAGATATTACTACTATTTATCCTTATTTCTCGGGTATTTCATAGTTTCCCCATGTAAACTTAAGCGTAGTCGTTCATCTAACCTAACCCGTAACAGATACAAAGAAGCTGCCAGAAATGGGTCTTTACCTTGGCGATGATTCAGCCAATTCTCCAGGATATTCCTTACTAAATATCACTGATTTTTCAGGTATATAGAGGGTCTGACGACGGAGAACAAGCACTTGAGCCAATGGGAGCGCACGCTGCACGCGTCCCAAGAGAACGCCCCTGAACCGGACTCTGAGAAATTGAAGCAGGTTGCCCAATGGTTGGGACGCAAGACCGATCAACATGACAACGTCGTGGCCGCACTTTGGACGCTCAGAAACCAATTGTTGAAAGACACTTTGAGTTTACACAAGACTTTGTAAAATAATTAAGTTTTTAAGAGTTGAAGACTTTGTACAATGTGAATAAAAGAAGAGAAATCTCTAATTATTATATTAATAATGGTTGCATAATGAGTTGATGATTGATATTGACTATGTAAAAATTTTTGATGTATTCGATATAAGTTTGTATTGTTGTTGATACACTTTAGTTTTATTTTTATTTTTTTCGAGCGTGAAAATTTACTTTTAATTGTTATTACTATTATTATTATTATTATAACTGAATGGGTATGTATTATTTTACAATTTTGTATAGAAAAAAAAAGTATATTGAAATATACGATTTACATATAAAATTATCGTTCTATTTTTATGGTATTTCATTTTAAATGCCAGAAGAAACTTTACTCAAGCATATTTGTAGCACTAATCAAATCTACTCCATTCTATTCTACCTTACTAGACTCTATTCTACTCTACCACATTCTTCTCTACTCTTTTCTACTGTACCATACTTTATTATACTCTATTCTTCTCTATCATACTCTAATTAATCTATCCTACAATACCTACTCTAATCTACCATACTCTATTCAACCACACTCTATTTGCTCTCAACTATACTATATTCTTCTCTATCATACTTAATCTATCCTACAATACCTACTCTATTATAGTCTGTTCTACTCTACAATTTACCACTGCCGTTGAAATTTCCCATGGGTCAACTGGGTCTCCTAAAGGTTTTAGTAATGTATTTGGATGAATTTCTAGCTTATCGTGGTGTTACTTCTTTCCTTGAATAGCATCTTTAACGTTTGGCACATTTAACTGAACGTACAAAAGTGAGTTTATTAGCAGACAAAATGGTTAGTTTAGTTTCAGGTGCGGCGCCTTCTGCTAATGACGCGGTCGTAGCGACCGAAATAAATTGTTTCAGCGATAAAATCGGCCGCGAAAGGGGCGTTTAGGGGGCGGCGGAGGATTCTCTTTTTGTTGCAGTTGACGCGTTGTCGGGCGATCGGGTAAGCGGTGCCCGTTTCGCTTTGCGTTTTCCCCCGTTTTTAGACCCTAATCGAGTCGTTTGTTGAACTTCCTCGGGGCTTAAGGGGTTAATTAATTTATGGAGTTTTGATGAATTGTAATTTTAGTGGGTTTTTAGAGAGAATCCGCGTTTTTGTACACCCAAAATAAATTTAATAACTCCCAAAAACTGCAAGATTTCGTCATGTGTCGGGCGTCATTCATTCGAAAACTTTACCTCCATCGAACTTCCGACTTATCCAGTAAATAACAAATAACTCGAACGGCATTTTTCATATTTAATCTACCCGAACAGGACGGAAGATTTCGGTACAACTTCTCGAAAAGAAGGCTCCGACAATGGATGTGTACGAGAATCGTCAGAAAGTTTACTTGCTCGATTGAAAAACTTCCGATGAAATATTTGACTTGCTGAAAAAGAATTTTTTTATCGAAAGATACATCGCAATTCTTTAGAAAGGCGGAATTTTTAACAATAAGTCTGTTATGGACTGCTATAGTAGGCTCGGTGGAATTTGAGTCGATTTAATTCCAAGTTACTAGATCATATTCGTCGTTTTCTTCATCATACTTGGTGATTTTATATCTTTATTATTTTTGTAGTAACAAGAAAAAAAATAGTGTTGCCTAAAGTTCGAGCTTACAACAAGCGGATACAGTTCAGAAGGCCTCTTATTTTATATACCCAACAGCTTAGGGAAATTCGCCAGCTTTCACCCTCGAAAAGGCGCAGTTGGCGCGACCCGGACAACTCGAGTGTCAATAACATAAAACAAAACCGGCTGGTACTTTTCGAAACGCAACCGTCCCGTTATACCCGATCCCATTTTCTCGCGCCCCTTTCGCCCCCGAACATTCCGATTTCCGACCGACGACCGCATCTAAAATCAAAACATCTGACGGAGTTTGAGCGAGTTTGATCCCCGGCGCTCCACTTGCTATGCATTCCGGCGCCGGAGAAGAGAAACGGACAACAAAAGACTCTCCGGCTATCCATCAGCCGGACGTGTTTGATAATTTGGTCGATGCAGCGGCTCCCGTTGCTCCTTTATCTTCAACACAGGAACGGACTGTTTGCACCAAACCACCCAAATTTTATACCTTTAATCTCCAATATTCCATTTTGGATGGACGCAAAAAGGTAGAAGAACAGTATTTCCAGACCTTCACATCTTCTAACTTCTTGCTCCTAGGTTCCTCCAAGTAGCAGCTTATCCTAGAGTTTCCTAGACTAAAGTTTCATACTTACTCTCCTTTCCACTTAGTGAGAATACTAAATCACCTGCAGGTCCAGGTTTCGATTCCCTATCTTCAGCTCCACCACAGGATATTTGCCTCAAAATATGGCGCTTATCTGGAGATTAGTACAAAAGTTCCGCTCCGCGGTAAATCCGGCCCCGGAGTTCGGTTTGAATATTCGTTGACCCCGACGAGAAGGGCCGGTCCTTGGCAAGGGCGGACTCCAAGTTGTCGGGCGTTAGGGTTTGACGGATCCGGTCGCCTGGAGGGAATACCGATTTCTCCGGGCGCGTACGGGTAGATTAATAATTTTCGAAATTCGGCGCGACGATGTGGGAGCAAGTTCGGCCGAATGGCCGGTTTTAATTGGACTTGGAGCGGCCCAATTTGCCGGGGAATTCGGTTATTACATCGGAAACTATTGGGAAATATCGGAGGATTTTTATATCCTAATTATAAGTTTTCACTCAAAAATAGTGTAGGAGCAAGAACGAGTGGAATTCGGTTACTAAATTGGAAACTACAAAAATAATGTGGGAGAATTTAACTAGGTACCATTCAACCTAATTATTTATTTCGAAAATAGTGTAAAAACACGATCGATTTGTTATTAATGCAACAATCTCCATTCACAAATGAATCAACGAGCAAATTACTTTCCGAGTCGCTATATTCTTTCCATAACTTTCATAAACAATGCTAATTCCCAGTTGAGATTGCTCCAACTTCTCCTGCTCTTCCACCTCCAACTCCTGCTGGGGGTGGATTCGAACTTTCCCAACCATCGCCTCGTATATATAGCAACGTCTTTTCGTTTTTTTTTTTTTCCACCTCCCCCCTCGGGGCCCGCGGCCCCCGAGTATTTTGCATGGAAACAATACGGTCAAAATTAAAAAAACAGAAAAACAAGGAGCGTCGCCCGAGGCCGTGTTAGGGGGAGATAATTGAAGTTTTTCCGCGAAGTTGGAACAACGACTTCAGTTACAGGATACGATCGCATTATAAAAAGGTGATTCGAGGAATTTGTGTATCGTAATGTCGTGTGGATGAGTTTTTAACACGTCGACTGCCGAATAACTCGACCGTGTAAAAATATTGTGTAGACCGGTGTTAAATAATTTTATTGGAGCGGTTTTATACCTGCGAAATGAGCGACCGGATTTGTTCCGGGTTGATTCGGTTAGATAGGATTTCGACTTGCGAAGAATAGGAGGGATTTTTCCCTCCAATTTAAATACGAATTCTATCCGATAAATCCGGAGTGGTAGAGTGACAGATTATGGGGGAGATTTGTCCCGTTTTAAAAGGACGATATCTTAATAGGTATTTGAGTGGTGTTGAGTTGAGTCAACAAGATCTATTGTTGTAATAATGCCGGGGAATCCTCGGACCTTATTTCTGATGTTTTATATACGAATGCTTCAAGAGGCATATTCGAAAGAATCACCCTGTATAATAGAAGTATAATTATTCACAAAATTAATTTCGCTGATTCCTCACAGAGAACTTCCCTTTGGTAGTTTAATGACGATAAAAATACGTGTAGGTAGGCATGTAAATGTATTATGTATGTGTAAATTTTCGATTCTGCTCTCCTGCAATTGCTCTTCAGCCAGACTCCGTGTCCTTGCATAATATCGCCCGCAAAATGGGGTCGATTTAAACTAAGAGCAAGAGCTGCTATATTCCACGTATGCTGTCCTCCCCGAGAATTCCACCACGCTAATTAACACTTGCGATATAAAAAAAATCAAATCGAATCGCCCACTCGAAATAAAAAGAAATAAAAAAAAAACTAATCCCCGTTGCGATACACACTCGACCTTTCCGCCCCGTTCTTCCGCAATCTTCCCGCTCTTTCTTAATAAATAACTGACCCGGGGTAGAGGCGAGACGGGAGAGTTCCAGTTCATTCGGGGCCCCGGAACGAGCGCCTCGGGCGTCGATGATCGTCGGGCGTTATCAGAGAGAGAGACGCGGTCCGCAGGCCCGTTCGAAAGCAATTGTCAAATGTAATTTCACGCCGGCGTTCACACCAAATATTTGAGTGATTACAACAGGAATGCGGGAGAGGATGCGGTCGCTCTTTACTCGGGAATTCTTCCCTCGGCCTCCTCCGCCGTTCGCTATTGAGTAACTGGAGTCTATTACCAGGAGGAGGTCGAGGACGATCTTGGAGACTAGACGTTTTTTTTTAGGGTAATAAATAGAAAAATAGACAATTTCCCGAAGGGGTGCATTTTTATGTCTACAAAAAGTTTCCTGAAAAATTTATGTCATGTATCCATTTTGTACAAATTAACTCATCAACTCTAGCCAACTAGTTAATTACGATCGCGGCGCTCAAAAAATAAACAAAATTTCCAAAAAAAAAAAATATCGACAAAACTCTAAAAACAGGCATTAAAAGTCGCGCGTAAAAAAATCCATAAAACCGCCGTTGAAACGCATTTTAGAATATTCGAAACAGCGGCCGTGCCATTAAAATCCGGTAACGATCCGGCGGCGACGGGGGGGCCCCCCGCCCCGGTCCATTTCTGTTGATAGAGCCCCGAGATTAGAGAACGGTTCGCCGGGCCCTTATCAACGAACAGGAGGAACTTTGCTGACTCGTTAGCTTTACGTCGAACGTTCGCCGGGCGAAAATGCACCCAACTTGGAGGAGCATTCGAAGTTCAAAGTTGGCGAGAACCGGCGGTGAATTTACCATCTAGATGGATTTTCAATTGGATGAAAAATTTCGTTCGAAACTCCGCGGAAAAAGCCGGCCAATTTTCCAACACAAATCGATGGAAATATAATTTTATAAACGTAATTTCGTCGATTTTGACAACCCATCTATAGTGCATAAATATCGCTTTATCGTCGCAGGAAAATTCCGGCTCGCATCAGTAAACACTCCGTGTACACTACTCTAATCCGAACATATTTACAGCTCTCGAACGGGCGATGTACAAAATTTCTACCTGATTTATGATCACCGCAAGATATAAAATGCAATTTTCCAAAGAAATCGTTCCGGTAACCTCCGGAGAATTCGAGGTAAGGGATTTGAGTGTATGTATATTAGACCCGAACACACCCGGAC